CAAAGCGTGATCGATAATTCGGGTGGCTCGGTTCTTTGTGGTTGGAGCTCAAAGCGGGTGGCTCATGGCGGAGCGTGGATGGGTAGGAAACGTGTTGAAAACGTAATGCAAAAGTATTGTATTCTTCGGGGGCGTGCTTGCGCTCGTAAATCTGTCACGGCATCAAGCACGCGTCACGCTCATCACGGTTAAAGTACCAAACAGACCCATCCGAATCTCCATCAAACTCTTCTCACTTCCAAGGAAAATGTCCAGAAAGTTCTGGACCCTTCGTACCCCATCACTGCAATTTCCGTAGTTATGTGTACCAAAGATAACCCGTCATACTATGCTACGAGTACCCCCAATATATCTAATAGCCCCCCTACTCGTATGCATCGTCATGCTCCGAGAAAAACCAAAATGACCCGTAGTCGACCGTACCACGAAGGCATGCCTTGTCAGCAGTCCTGCTTACTTCAAAACAAAACAAACCATCAAACCAAATTCCTCTTTACCATCTCTCCAAAACAATCAAGAAAATTCTCAAAACAAACAAAAACCAATATCTTCGCGCCTGGTGTCCTGCGCTGCTTGGCGGGCTTCCGCTGCTGGGCGGGCAGAAAATTCTCAAAACAAACAAAAACCAATATCCTCCGCTACTTGGCGGGCTTCCGCTGCTGGGCGGGCAGAAAATTCTCAAAACAAACAAAAACCAATATCCTCCGCTACTTGGCGGGCTTCCGCTGCTTGGCGGGCAGAAAATTCTCAAAACAAACAAAAACCAATATCCTCCGCTACTTGGCGGGCTTCCGCTGCTTGGCAGGCAGAAAATTCTCAAAACAACAAAAACCAATATCCTCCGCTACTTGGCGGGCTTCCGCTGCTTGGCGGGCAGAAAATTCTCAAAACAAACAAAAACCAATATCCTCCGCTACTTGGCGGGCTTCCGCTGCTTGGCGGGCAGAAAATTCTCAAAGCTCAATTCGTCTACTTTCAGTCATACGGAGAGTTGCAGGGTGAGGCACTGCACCGATATCCCCTGATGAAGTCTGGAGGCGACCGGCCATGGCAGTCGCAATCGCGTCGGCCAGATCGTCTGCGGAAGGGTTGGGTGTTGGCCCCCAGGTTCTTGCTGGTGTGGTGCCTCTTGTTCCTCATTTCCTCGCCGGAGATGTTCTGATCTCTGCTGCTCGGCTCGATGCCGTACCTCCATCTCGGCCAACGTCTTGGCCAGTTTCTCCTCCATCAGCTGCTCCATCCGAGCTGCTACTCTCTCGTTGATTGACCAGTTCTTTGATCCTGGCGTCCTCCGCTGCTTGGCGGGCTTCCGCTGCTCGGCGGGATTCATCTTCGCGCCTGGTGGCCATCGTGACCCTGCTCTTGATCGCCGCAAAGCGATGCTCCTAAACCAAGCTCGACCGCGAATCTCGTAGGCGACGTGTCATACGCTAGCGTGATCGATAATTCGGGTGGCTCGGTTCTTTGTGGTTGGAGCTCAAAGCGGGTGGCTCATGGCGGAGCGTGGATGGGTAGGAAACGTGTTGAAAACGTAATGCAAAAGTATTGTATTCTTCGGGGGCGTGCTTGCGCTCGTAAATCTGTCACGGCATCAAGCACGCGTCACGCTCATCACGGTTAAAGTACCAAACAGACCTATCCGAATCTCCATCAAACTCTTCTCACTTCCAAGGAAAATGTCCAGAAAGTTCTGGACCCTTCGTACCCCATCACTGCAATTTCCGTAGTTATGTGTACCAAAGATAACCCGTCATACTATGCTACGAGTACCCCCAATATATCTAATAAAGCGCACAGTCGCAGGCAGCACCTGGGGCGGCGAACAGGTCAGGAAATCCCGCGGCATAGCGCGAAACACCTGACGTGGGTAGCGAACACTGCCTTCCATTGTCTTGCAGGCTCCTTCAGCTACACAAGAGACCCACTGCTGTACGTAGCCCTACGTCGACACAGGACACGCTCAACTGCGTTCCTGCGCTGGACTGTCTTATGACCCATCGTTAAGCCCAAAGGGTTCCGTTCAGGTGCTACCACGGCCGGTGGGTGCCCCACCGGTGGGGGGCTTGTGGCAGAAGAGGGCACCCCCTAGATACGGGAATAAGTTCTCCAACGAGTATCTCCCCGGGCTACGGGGCACTCCCCCTCCGCAACGGGCACTCCCTCCGACTATAACGGGCACCCTCGGGTCTTCGGGGCACCCCCAGTGTATCTGCTCAGCGAGTTCAGCGCTTTTATGTGAACAGAAAATACAGTGTATACATCCGACAAAGGGCAAAAAATGTACCTGAACAAGGAATATTCTACAGTGAAATATTCTGATGATGGAATACAGTGAACATGATGAGGCAATACAGTGAATATCATCAGCGAATACAGGATATACGATCAGCAAATACAGTTATGAATCTAAAAATGGGGAAACAGTGAAGCTGACCAGAGAATACAGCGTATCTGAATAGGGAATACAGTGAGTAGGATGAGGGACAGTATATCTGAATCGGAATGCAGTGAAAATGATGAGGGGATACAATAAAGTGAATATGGTCAGGGAAAACAGTGAATCTGATCAGGGAATACGGCGAACTTGATGAGAGGATACAGTGAAAAGAACAAGGGAATACGGTGTACCTGATGAGAGAATACATACAGTCAATTTGACGAGAGAATACAGTGTTTAGCGTATCTGATCAACGAATACTGTGTATGTAATCCGGGAATGAATACAGTGCATCTGTCCGGGAAATACAGTGTATCATGCAGAATTCCCTGGAGCACTGCATCGTCCAAACACGGCGCCGAGAGGTGCGCGAAAACACAGGGGGGTGCCCAAAATGGAGGGGGGGTGCCTGTTGTTGGGGAGTGCCGTTGGTCGAGGGGGGGATCACGGGTGGGCCTGGGGAGTACCCGTTAGTTGGGGGGAGTGCCGATTTGTCGGGAGTGTCCGCTAGTCGAGAGTGGTGCTCGTCAGTCGCGGGGTGGTGTCCGTCGTCGGGGGGGGAGTGCCTGTTAGCCCGGGGAGGACCCATTTGAAAATATGTACAGGGTGTCCCTATCATGCAACAGTACTTGTGTCTACAATAGTTACCCCACCACCATGCACCTCGCACCACTGTACACAAGGCTCCGATGGCCAGACAAAAATCCGTACCCAGTAGAAGTGTACAGTTGATGCACGAGCGACACACAACATACAGCAGCTCTGCGCCACTGCAGCACAGCAGCCAAGACACACGTCACAAAGGGGGGGGGAACCTGGTAAATGCATTATTGATTGACGTAAAGCAGTATCTTCTTGTAAGTAGCAGCTTCAGTAAATGAAGAATAGATCACGTCGTCATACATACTCGAACAGAAGTCTACGAACGGACATGGCGCATCCATATGCGGAGGACATGGTGCATGCACGGAACCGCACGACAATATACGGAATGTATGCATATGAATTTACCTCTTCGAAGTTCATGCGCATTCGATGCATCTCTCGCGCGCAACACAGCAGTGGATGTTCTACTAGTGGGGAGGCAAGTTTTCCGCTTGACCTCTGTAGGGCGGCGCGGAGGGATTTGTTGACTTGTTCCCCACCGCGTCTGCTGCTGTTGTGGTGTGTGTGCTGTGTGCGGTGTACTGCGTGGTGTACACTGTGTGTTTATGAATCCACGCTCTAGCCATGGTGCTTGTGCTTGATTGGAGTCTTGTACGGCGAGATTCAGCTGGCGGGGTCGACGACACCCACCGGTGGGGCATTGTATTCGAATTTCACCCCACCGGCCGTGGCACCAACAAACCTTTATCGTTCGGCCTCACCATGGATCCCACGATAGCCCTGCAACGCAGCAATACATTCGTACGTGTCTTGTGTCAATTGGAGTGTTATGTGGGGAGATCCAGCGGTGGGTCCCTGGTGTTGAATGAAGCCTTCTGCAAGAAAACAGAAGGCAGCGTTCGCTACCCACGTCAGGTGCTTGGCGCTATGCCGCGGGATTTCCCGACCTGTTCGCCGCCCCAGGTGCTGCCTGCTACTGTGCGCTTTGGGTGCATCGACCACAAACTCCTGTACGTACTTGTGTGTCGATCTGATCCTTTTAGAGGGAGATCCAACTGGTGGGGTCCATAACGTTATCTACCCCACCACTGGGGTAGTGGCGCATGTCCCCCACCAACCGTGGCACCACCAAAACGGTGCCGTTTCGGCCTCACGATGGGTCCAATGATAGCCCTGCAACGCCGAAACATATTCGTTGAAGTCCTGTGCTGATTGGAGTCTCGTAGAGTGAGCTACAAGCGGTGGGGTGTTTAAGCGTTAACCGCCCCACCGGTGGGGTGGTTAAGAAATTACCCCACCTGTGGGGTGTTTAGCCGTGCCGCATAACGAAAACACACACACAAACACACTTCTGTTATTGCTACGGTATTTGTGTATTATCCGGAGAGTAGCGTAGACTCCCCCATGACACTCGGCCACAAGGGTCCCGCATCGTGGTTTTCAGAAGCACATTATTATAGGTTTTTCAACCACACCGAAACATTGGTCAGCTTCTGTGTTTGTCGTTCGATGATGATATTCAATAGTGAATGTCAGGCAAACAGCGCATGTTCGCATTCGTCCTCGTTCCGACCTACGGCACAGGTGTTGCATAAATTGTTCCTGCTATGAATCACCCACGGCGGCGGTCGCCCGAAGCGACGAAACCCCGTCCGCGTCCTTTCCATGGAGCAAGCCAAGTCATCCTTCATGTATATATGTAGAATCGGACAAATATTTCACCGAAGGGCCTCCATATCTCTCTACCCATAAAATTTGCGTGATTTTCATCGACTTCCTTGCCTGCGCTCAATATTGACCGTTTTCTTGGAATCGATACAATGATTTTCGGTGGTGTGGCAGTAAACTTTGTAGGTTTGGCTTTCAAAGATAGGCAGCCATTGGAACCGGTGTGTTGTCAAACATAGTCCACACAAGTAAGCTACTGAAGGTGAACCAAATCGCATCCGCCTCCCTCATGTTCGTTCCGGCCACGATGTTTGTGCAGTGGTATCCTGTGCTGGGGGTCAAACATGTGGACCCAGGGAGGGCCCACCCTGTTCAGGTGGGAGCGCTGTAGCGGAGCTCGAGACATGCCGTCGTAGCACAAATCGACGGCGTGACTTGTCCATAGGTTTGTTGTGACAAGACGCGTTCCGCAAACGAAAAAGCATGGACGCCGCTTTCAAGGAACTGAGCCATATTCGGTTGTGCACGGGACGCGGCGTGAGATTGCACAGAAAGACACCTAGGCTCCCATGCTGAAACCCATGCTGGAATGTGCTCTTGGCGGGGGATGAATATCTAGAAACATTGGCTTGGGTAGTGCCCGAAATCTTTCCCTTGTGTGGGAGAGTACTGGTAGAGCGAGGCCTTGGTACGCGAGCCGATCACGTCCCCCGAATCCGCCACACGCTAATGACGGACCGGCAGCTCTACGTTCATGAAGATATCTTATTAGGTACATCCCTGGTTACCCACGACCGCTGTGCCTGCGGCGCCAGGCGCTATCGTTGCCTGCGTCTCCGACACGGTTTGCGACGCGAAGTGGACATGACCGAATATCTCTGTTGCGCTCGTGATGCTTGTGAGTCCCCCGACATGCTGCCTTTGTTTGATTGCCGCAACTGTGCTACTCTGCCCCTGCGTGTACCTCCTTCCTTTGGACCGCCAACGTGCCGCGCTACCTCTGCCGCTGTTCCGAAACAGCTACTGGGCAAGAACCTGGTGGTGTGGCGGAACAAGGAGGGTCGCTGGTCGTGCTTTGATGACCGCTGCCCTCACAGAGCGGCACCACTCACCGAGGGGAGGATAGAGGACGACGGCTCTCTTCTGTGAGTGAGAAACTCGAACCCATGCCAATGACGATTGACTACGTGGCGCGTGGGCTGTCGTGTGTGCCCCGACCATTGCTTGTTATTTGCGCCATTCGTGCAGACCCATACCAACGCTTCGAGTTCATTCAATATTTTGGTGGATTTGTTTTTGCGAAACAATCTCTTGTGTATACAAGAATATGTGAACTAACTGGCTGTTTGCGGCGTGGGCCGCCCGATCAGTGGATATATCAACGCGAGAAGAGGATGGCTAGTGAACCGCCGAGAAACCAACATACCTTGTGCAACACACCGACGGTGTCGACTACCTGTGCCGCCGAAGGCAACGCCCCAGCTGTAAAGCTGGCATGGTGACGGTCAGACGCCCTGACCCCCCCAAACCCCTTGGTCTGGCCTCCTGGCCGCCAATCGTCTGTCCCCGTGCCTCTCCGGACGAGTCTAGCTGTGCGTACCACGCGTGGCGTTTCGACGCCGACGGCAAGTGCCTGAGCATCCCTCAGAGCGACAGGGGAGGCAAGGACGAGGCCCAGCCCAAGGCCTGCGCCAAGGTCTACCCCACACAGGTACACCTCGCCTGGTGACATGCCGATGACATACCCGCGACGGCTGTCACCAACACCGACGCTGGTACACCCAAGTGCACCTGTGAAGAGACATGCTTACACGTGCTAAGGAGGGTTTGTGTAGAGCAAGCATCGGCGATCTTTCATCACCCAGAACTGGGCGCCGATATTGCTTTTGTTGTTGTGGTTGATGCTGTGATTGTCCTTTGACACCCATCCCAAGAAGGCCGAGCGACGACCGACGGGCAGAGGCACGAGCTTTGAGTACCGGAGGGTGCAGGTGCATATTTGGCCAGCCACCGCTGTTTGTCATGTCGAATGCAGTCGCCTGTGATGTCGGAGTCAATCCGACGTATCTGCACCGCGAGAAAGCATTTTGAATGCTGAACGTTTGAGAGGAGTTCCATCCGAAGACAGGGCATGTTTGACGTGAGCGCCAAGACACGGGATCCGAGGTACTAACTATACCAGCACACGCCATGTTTCAATGAGGAAACCTGTCCACTTCCACATCCCAAGCTCTCCTAGGGAAGCGGTATTATCGGGACGCCACCATATTTGGAGGATATGTGCCCAACGTCGAGGATGCACACCGGGGGAGCAGTCGGTATGACCGATTGTCGGATTGCGTCTGGCACCCTCGCGAGCCAGGGTCTACTGTAGCAACTCAATCGATGTATCATTCCCCAGACAGTGGCGGGACGCCTACTACCGCATATTTTCGACGGCCCTTCTCATGGGTAGGTAGACCGCTCTCCCGCCACCCACCCACAAGGATAATGCGTGTTCTTGACTACTCCCGCGCATATCCATCTCCGTCTCTCTCTCAGGCATGCTGTATGGTGGTGTATGCTTGTCTCCACCGGCCTCGTCAACGCTGCCTTTCACGCCGCACTCTCGCAGGTCGCTCAAGACATTATCTGGGTGTGGGCCGAGAACGGGCCGGACGCTGGTTTAGAGAGCGCGCTCACCCCGCCCCACCTTCTCCCCGAGCTGGATGACGAAGAGGGGCTAGCGTCTGGCAGGGTTGTCCCGCAGGGGGTCCAGCACACTGACCTGGCCTACGGTTGGGACACCATGATCGAGAACCTCGTGGTGAGCCGCCTATCTACGCAAGAGTAGCGCAGACGTGTAGGTGGAGACGAAACAACATGGAGGCTCCCGCCTCTGAGTGTGTCGCGCCCCCCCCCCGGACTGGTCGCGCAGCTGATTCTACCGGTCGCTGTCGTCTGTTGTTTGGTTGTTAGGTTCTCCCCGTACTTTTTATGATCTTGTTCAGAAAACGGTCCGTCGTTTGTGTGCGGTGTTGGTTTCGATCGCCGTTGTGCGTTCATCCGTTTCGGTGTTTGTTCTCATGTTACGCATAGATCCAGTTGTACATTCATGGGCGATTTGGTCTAGTTCCGATACCTGCGACGCCTGCGTTCTTGGATGCTACCCGTTGTTCAACGGTTGGGGTGAATGGTCCCTAAACTACTATGGCTAGGTTCCCGTTGACGTTTTGCTGCAATGTTTGACGCTTTCTGATCTCCCTTCCTCATCTTGTTTTACCATGAGTATTGTTTTCGGCACGAAATACCCTCTGCTATGACCTGACAGGCCCCTGCTATAGTGTTCTCACCTTCATACCGCCAGCCTTGCCAAAGCTGTATTTTTGTAGAATGACGGAGCGTACCAAGCGTTCCAACTCCCATCCAACGAATACAATTTTTCTAGCTCCCGACCGCAGAAATTGTAAAAGTGTTCCTCGTCTAGTACAAGCTGCCAACAAAGAATGTTCCCGTCTCGCTGCCGGGTCGGTTCCCAAGCCGTTGAATACAGAGCGCGGGTGGGCGGAAGCAAGGCATGAAATTTGTTTTTATTTCCAGGACCATTTCCGTTGTGGCTGGATTCCACTGTACCCCATGCTTTCCGACGACCTTTCAAGGGTGTTGTCAGTACCAGCCATGGTGTTCCTCGACGTCTTCACTCGGAATTTTATGCCTCGTGCGTCTACAACACGTTAGTACTAGAAACGATCAGCGGCACGCCTGCACATAACATTCCCATCGCTGAGTGTAGGACCTTGAATCCGTTCTAGAAGGGTTAGACAACAGTTCTACCGTCCATTTCGCCTTTTCTCTTTCCATGCATCCCGCCGCCACCGCCGCCGCCGGTTCTGCTGCTGCGGCCCCCTGTGTCACCGGGCAGGATCCATCACACGTGCCGTGTGCCCACCATGGTGCGAGCACCACTCAGCTGTAGATACAACCAAACCGTTTGATGTATACCCACCCTGTCAGAACTGCGGGTGTAGATATCTTCAACCTCAAAATGCAGAAGCAACACAGTTCCCCCATGTATGAGTGGTTGGCAGGCGCCTGCTTTGACGGTGTCCGTTTCTTTTGTGGTCGATATGTAGGGTTTCGACAACCTGCTTCTGGCGATGAGGGTACTGTAGAGCCTGGCACTGCAGATATACTTGAGCGGTGGTCCGTTGTAGATCAGCCAATGCTGACGATGCTCGAGTCGTCTCTCGAGTTGTAACCGATTTCGTAATCGATTAGTAAATGGTCGCAGGTTTCGTTGCACGTGTATTACGGCAGACACAAATTAAAGGCATTTGTTGGAAGCTGTGTCTGCTTGGAAGTTGAACCTGTGCTCATCCATCATTAGAGATACGTGGAGTCGGTACAGGTATGAATACTTTTATCTCGTCCTCGTTCTTGTTGTTGAAACAAATGAAATCTCGCGCACACCAGCCTTCTTTCCGTGCGTCCCTTCCGTGTGTTCCAGGGGTCGCTGGAGATCGCTACAAGGACGTTCGACCGATAGACTTGGAGCCCGACAAGGAATGGCCCGTCACGGCTACGGTAGGAGACGCAACTGACTTCAATACATGTGTGACTCAAGTATTTCTTCAAGTACTGCAGTAAAGGGACGGGTTGCGACGAACGCGCACTTCCCTAGATCGTTTTTTCATCGTGCTCGATGAATCTCAGAGCTTTCCCGATGAACAAATTGGAGAACCGGGGCAAATACAAGTAGCCTGACGACGACACAGCGGGTTGTTACTATTGGCGTTATCGTTTTCGTTGTGTGCATGCATGCGTCTGTACACGGAAAATTGGACCAAGACCCCACCAACGTTCCAGCGAGTCACATTTCGACACAAACATGTCTTGGTACCATTCCTGGCTTCCTTGCCGGGCCCTGGCTTGGCATCCTTTGCAAGCCACACCGTGGCCGCTTCTACCTCCCCCCTGACAACGCATCTCCTTGTGCTATTCGGTACCTGTTACAGTTGATCCCCCCCTCCCACCCTGCCTCGTCGTCATCATTCCCCGACGTAAACGCTGCAGAGTGGTTTCCGGTTCGAGTTTGATGACAAAATCACGAGCTCCCACAGCACGATCACTTTTGTGCCGCCTTGCCTGGTGAGATTCAACAGGCCTGCTCCATCCAAGTTCGAATGGATCGTGTAGAACCGGGGGAAACCAAGAGAGAGAGAGAGAGAGAGAGAGAGAGAGAGAGGGAGAGAGAGGGAGAGAGAGAGAGAGAGAGAGAGATCTTCTCTATTCGGGCGTGTATAATCACGAACGCGCGCTACAATGTCGATTTTCGATAGGACGTCCATGGCGTGCTGCTTCGATGTTTGTCGTCCGTGATTACCTCCACGTCTATGGCGCGCCATAACCAACTTGGTGCCGATATAGAAGGTCTGACCACGGTAGATCGACAGATTTTAGGAGCGTTTGGCGTTCTGGGGTTCCAACGGGGCGACGCTTTGCTACCGTCGGGAAGTTCGTTGTGCAGGAACGTTTTTTCCCCTCAATTTATGTTAGATAGCATAAAGCATTTTGCTGAGAGTATATGCTTGCGCTCCCTGAAAATTCCACAAGGCTTCCCTGAACGGTCCCAAACACACAACCTTCGTTTCCGGAGGATGGCCGACCTCGCACACGTTCGTTTGGAGATGACATGCCCGACAACGGCATTCGTATCCCAGACCAGACCAGACCAGAGTTTAACAGGCCCGATGGTGGCAACAGTGGAATCTCCGCCTCACCTCCCCGTCCATCCTCCTTGTCGGTAATTTTGTGACTGGACACGATGTCCACCACTCCGTGTGACGTCAACTGTGTGTGTTGTCCAACAAAGGTTCTGGTGGAGAATGCGGATGATGCCGGGGAGCTGAAGATGACGCTGTACGGCGTTCCTACCAAGCCCGGGTGGTGTCGTCTGGTGGGCCGCCAGGTAACGAACGACGGGGATGGAGGGCACGGGTGAGGCAAGACCACAACAGAGCAATATGGATGAAAACCACAGGGGGAGACGAGTTTTCGATGCACACCGCTTAGCAGGCCCAGAGGTCGACCAAACCGATATGCGGTGCCACATGTAGAGCACGCCGTGTCGCGCGCATGTCGTGGTCGAGTTCGATGGAATACCATGTAATACTGCCGACTGTGTGTTCTTCGGTCGTTTTGCCTTCGCTTTGCCACGTGTCATGCACAACAACAACTTAGGCGTACGTGCACAAGTATGCTCCCAAGTCTAAGGAGGCAAAGGCGCTGCGCAAGGAGAACAAGCGTCTGGGCAAGAAGCCGTCAGAGTTGATGGTCGCCGCCAGGTCAGTCAACTATTCAAATCGCCCAGTTTCCCCAATTGCAAATGTGGGTTTCGCTCGTGAGTACCCAGAACCGGCTTCTTCGTTTTTGGGATGTGATGTGTGACAGGAAACGCACGACAAAAAGCGAGAGGGATGTCAAAACGCGTGCACGTGGTATTTCCCATCCTTCTACTCGCTCCATGCCGAGGCAAAGTGGGTTTTGTTCACGCTCAGCAAACCCGTTCGTTCGTTGCACTCCCTTGTTCTTTTTGTGTCCACTCTCGGTCACTTGTACCCTAGGGAAATAGCATCTGGCGATTTGGCTCCGTACATCGATTTCATTTCAATATCGAACTGCATTCAACTCCCACTTCTCTCCCCCCCTATTGCCTTCGTCTTCCGCGCGCTCTCTCTCTGCGACGGTCAAACTTCGCTTGATGAACGATGGTATAGTATCATGTCCAAGATTCCCCAATGGCTCATGCACGCTTCGGCCGGCATCTTCTTGTACCAAGATATGGTTCTCCTTCATCACCAGGTGGACCATGTGGAAATTTCTTCTTGAACGGGGAAGGCTTGATCTGTAGATCATGTCGAAAAAGTCAAGAACAGTGATCTTCCGGGCAGACAGACCGTCAAAAACAATCTTGCGTCATCATGTTCCCGGTGTACCCACCACGATTACGTCAGCTGCCGATGTAAGGCAGTGGAAATATTTCGGTCATCACCTTCGCTTCTCCTGTCCCTGCCGGCCGTATTATTCCCGTGTTCCCAAACAGTCACATACCTTCGAGTGATCATGTTCGATGTTGTATATTGCGAAATTCGTTGTATTCTACAGTAGTTGTCGTTCAATCCTGTGCGGTTGCAATTCGACCTGCTCGCGATAACGTGTTCCCTTTTTGTGTTCTTACTCCAAACCCCAGGACAAGACACTGGCTTCGGTGGGGCACGATGGTAACAGTACTTCTAGCTATGGAAAGGCTGTGTACACCCCAGCTCCTGCTGATCGAGCTGTCATGGCCGTGTAAGTGTGTCTCATTTCTCTTGTATATTTCATGTTCGCAGAGCCTCAAACTGCCGAAAATATGGTACCTGCAGTTGCCCAAAATTGGTGGAAGACAAGGGGTCTCCATGGTAAGAAATTCGCGATTTCGTTAGCGTTTCCCGGGTTATGGATTGCGCTAAGCTACCGAGGAACTTTCGCGAATAGAACGTGAAATGACCAGAGATTGGGCCATCAGCTGGTGTGAGAAACTATTGTACCGACGACGACGACGGCGTCAACAACAAGCAACAACAGTGACGGCTGGGTCACATATGCGCGCGCTTAACGGATGTGCTTCTTTAATTCAGGAGGAAGTGGATCGCGACACATGGCTCCGGAGGGCCCGCGTGGGATAAAGACTGCGACCCGACCCTGCCGGAGCGTGAACACAAACGCGAAGTCCTGTTCGACTACTATGAGGTACCAGGCTTCCTGGGTGGAATATCATTAGTTTGCCTGCGTTTGGTGGTTTTGTTTGGACCTTTGTTGTGCGCAAAACATAGGTTGCCGTGGTTGTACCCGTTCGTTCGTTCGAATTCTACCTTTCATGTCCCTCATACACGTACCTAAGTGGTGCATGCTTCTTCGACATCGTGATGGGTTCCACTACATTGCAGTATTCTGCGGTTCCTCTGGTTCGCCGTGGGATCCTCGGGGGCTCAGACTCCCGACAGCTGACGCACAGCCGCCGTGCAGACCGTTGTGTAGAGCTACAACAGTAGGGTCTACGGTACTATCCGTAACTCCCGCCACTTGTGTGTCCTTTCCATTTCCCGCAAATCAAACCACGCTGGTGTCACCTCGCAGTTGCGCAAGTGGTCGGGACAACGGCACATCCAACGCTACAGTACACTACTTGTCTAGAAACCATTGGATGGTGAAGGTATTATGGGTTGAAGCCACAGTAGCGTCGTGCGCAACACAGCAGGAGACAGGTGTTTTCCACACTGCAAGGGGGGTGCAGCTCCATCCGCTTCAGCTGTTGCTCAAATAGGCGGAAGTCATCCTCCGACCGTCCGCCCCGACTCATGTCCCTCACAGAACCTCCTGACTTTACACTCACCTCATCCTCATCGTTAACCATGATCATTGGCCCCTTCTCTCCTCCCGCTGCCAAACGGGATGTTCCGGCCCGGCTACATTGATCGTCTTCGGGGGGGGCCGAGCAGGGCCACACGAAAACGTGCAGCACCTGCCTACGTGCGTTGAAGAACATCAACAAGTTGCTGGCAGCGAGCAAGACGGCTACCGCGGTCTCCTGCACTTGGGTGAGAAAAACAGCGAGCAGTCATGCTCACCGAGGAAGCGAACCCCTGTTTGTTGGTTCTCGACGGTTGACCCCGTGTTCCAAACCATTGCCCACGCATCAAGTCCGGGATAGGGCCTCCGTTCGTGCGCCTAGTCTATTGCAGGGAGTAGCGTAGGTGGAAGTGGGCTGGTGGAGAACTATGTTCGTGTTTAAGCCTGGGGAAATTGCGAGCGCTTGCTGTGATAGACCCTCCCATCCCTGCCCATGCGGGATGTCGCCCATATTTCCCAACGAGGCGCTGCGAACTGTGGGTCCCGTACAGCGGCTTTGTTGTCCTTGGCATTTTGAGCGTAAACAAGAAGTCATGGGGCACGTGCGGGTGCCCGCCAGCACGCCGTGCATTCGTCTGCGGGCGTACATGGAGTCTTTGGATGATGAGACGGTTTTTCATCGATCCGTTTGTTCTCTTGCCGGCATGAGATCTGTTCTGCACTTCTTCGCTTCCGTTGCTGTCCTTGTAACTCACCCTCGTATCATGAAAAACTTCACCAACATGCCGAGGTGTGGCTGCGTAGCGTTTTCCTACAGGATCATAACTGCTGTTGCTATTCACGAATCGATAAACCAGGGGCTGCTACGAGGGGCGCGCGCTGTGAGCACGCCGACAGCCGTCGGTTCGCGGTCTGCAAGTGTAGTCAATGCCGTGACGGCTAGGGCCATACTTCCAGCGGTGGCTCTGACGCTCGCAAGCCTGGGGGCTGTCAAGGTAAAGTATTGCACCTACCGCTGTCGTAGGATGTGCCCGTCGTCGTTACCTTCGTCCACGTCGTGCGCATCACGAAGCAGATGTGGCCTTTCCTGCTCGGTAGACGGAGGCGCCTTGTTCGCTGATTCGGGCGTTGCTTGCTGTGAATGAGCTTCCTTTCCCTCACACGATGCGTGTCATCGTGGGTTCTTGTGTGTGCGGGTGTAGGTTCTCGGCGAATCCGCATATATCCATTGGCCTGTGACTCCCCTTGTTTGTGCGCCCGCGATAGGCCACGTATGAAACGCCTCCGACCCTCGACGGCCGCGATGTCAGCGTGCCATAGCGCTCGAGGGAGTCCTAAGAACGTCCCGCGCCAACAAACAATGCGTACTCCTACAGTAACACACCTTCTTGAGGTGTACTTATGTTGCCGAACTACGTACAAGATCAGAATCTCGGGCAACCAGTTGTTTTCGATCGAACAACTACTGGGTCATAATCTTGGGCAACTACTTGTAATTGTTTTACAAAAGCTACCTGATATGTGCATGTGCACTTATAGTACCAAACAGCAGCGTCTGGCGAGGGGTCCGTCCCCGGAGATCTCTACTCTCAATCCCAGTGATTAAGCTACAAACAGCCTCAAGCCCATGTGATCCGGCCGGGTGCTAACGAGCTCTGAGCATATCTTTTATTAGATAAAATTAGACCATCTGATCAGTCAACGTTGACAGATCAGATGGTCTAATTTTATCTAATAAAGGATACCGCACGAGTTCGAATACCGGCCGGATCACTTTTCTCTGCATGAAATTATGTCACCATTGTCAAAACAGCAACGCATGGCAAGGGGTCCGTCCCCGGAGATTGCTATGTGTTACGCACGTGCTAGTTGTACAGGGTGTGAACAATGTGGATCTCCCCCGTCTTGTGCCTGCTCGCATATTAGGTACTGGAGAAACTTCGCGGCCTGTACTACACTTACTCCTTCCACCACCAAGACAATCCCTGAGGTGAAAAAGGCACCACGTCGCTCGGCCAGGAAGACGTCCGCCAAGCTGCGCCCGCATCTATCTTCTTTTTGCCGGCTGCACCACAGTCTTGGGCCCATGTTGAACTTGTTTCGATGCCATATGCTAGATCTGAATAACGCAGGACGTGGAGCTGTAGGTACATACAAAAATTAAACGAAACCACATAGGAAGGGATGTGAGAGTGAAAGGGCGCAATATTGTAGAGCCAGCCGGTGCGTTCGTGTATGAGCCAGCGATCGTGGGACATGTGAAACGTCGCGCCTTGTCAGCTTGGTTGGATAGCTGCGCGATTTTCTTTCGATCGTGTTTAAGTGTCAGCACCGACACAAGGAGAAGGGCAACCTTTGCACCAGCTCCGTGGCTATCCGCACAGATGTCGTCGAAAGGGCTTAGGCGGGAAACGATAGCTGTTGGGGAAGACGAGTAAGGCACTGTCCCCGGACGGATGTATGTATCGAATAGGCCAGACATCGCTAGGTGGGGGGGGTGGGGCGTGCGAGTGGACCAGGGGGGGCGTGACTAGGGTTTGGGGCGGTGTCTGCGGTCAAATACGTATTCGATTTGTTGCGTATCAGTATGCCATTGAGGTGGAATGGTCGTTGTTTATTTTCTTACTATGACACTTAAAAATCCATCTCTTTGTACAGAAAAAAATCTAAGATAGATTTGCAATGAATCCCTAGCGTCAGCGAAGGGCTATCTGTGTGACTACGATTGTGTGGTCGTTGAAACATACCATGGAACATCAACATGAGCAGAGACTGAAACCCTCAACGGTTTCAGAACTCCTCTTCACCGGTATCCCTCCTGCTGCGATGGACGTGGACGACCCAACACCTCGGGCAATCCAACGCCGGTCTTCGCATCTGTGTACCATTGAACACTCTCGAGTGAACAATCCACCTTGAAGTGTCGATTTTCTTTTGTAAGGCCTTGTCGTGAGGTTCCTCCTGGAATGTACATTACAACCGGACCATGCAAATGCGTTCAATACGAATGCCATTGGGAGCCAACGAAAACCTTCCTAATTCGCCCACCGCTCTGGCTTCCACGGAACACAGGATCAGTAGTCTACAAGGTGACGACGAAAAAAATGGCATGTTCAATGACGCTAATGTGAGCCATGCTGGGCCACACCTACTTCACTGCTGGGCCGAACCCCCTTCGCCATTCATGCCAAAGGCTTGGGGAATCTTGCCTCGGTTGTTGTTCACCATACCTGCACGCGAATCGCGATAGATCTTCCTACAACAAGTGGAGATCAGGCTCGAAACCAGCCCCTCGAAACAGACCCCAATGCATTTTTGTGTTTTGTCGGAGTCACAGCCTTCAACGCACTATGTGTAAGTACCACGACACATCCTCGAAGCAAAAAGAACACACACCTTCAGATTTCCCCCCTACATTCATGGACACTGAGAATACATAGATTGCCTTGCACACACGAATATCGTACACAACGCGCACCCGGACGCATGGGGTTGTGTTTTGTCGGAGTCACAGCCTTCAACGCACTATGTGTAAGTACCACGACACATCCTCGAAGCAAAAAGAACACACACCTTCAGATTTCCCCCCTACATTCATGGACACTGAGAATACATAGATTGCCTTGCACACACGAATATCGTACACAACGCGCACCCGGACGCATGGGGCACATCTTGTCTCTGGCCGTAACGCACAACATTGAACGAAATTACGTGAACTTTGGATGCACACCCACCCGCACATGTCAAAAAACGAGTACATTGTAGCAGAACTCATTTTGGTAGAATGTCATGTGTTTTCAACTTCAAGATGAAAGATCGAGTCAGTCAAAAGGGCGTTGAGGCGAGAGAGGGCTGAACTCATGGGTTGTGCGTGCTCATTGCATTCTAGCTGTCGTATAAGAGGACTAATGAACCACGAAGGGAAAAAAGTAGAACACTTCTGAATTTAGAAGTGATCACTCTGAGGTACGATTATCAAAGAGGAGTGACGCAGGATGAAAACAACAGCCGGAAGTATGACGAACAAACAGCTCATTGGGAGCTGCGTTGTGACATTCCCCTCAATCTCGACAGCTCACGCAACCGACATTTGTTAGACTCGTACAGCAGGCCAGTGAACCTCATCACAAAAAAATAATTGGTCTCATCTCGAACTTGTGCTGGTTTGATACGGTATGACACCCAGCAGCATCACTCCTGCTGGTGCGTCGCTTGATCGGCTTCACACGCATACATTGTGATGTGGGAAAGTGAAACGAACAATATGGGGCCTTCTCCGGTTTTCATACCGTCCCTCGTCCCGTGCAACCGTTCCCTCAATTCACGCGTCAGGGCCAGAGCCAGACGTGCTCGTCGATGATGAAGACATAACGCGCTCTGCTCTTAATGCAAACAAGAGTGATTGCGGAAACATCACCGATGGCACAGGGGAGAGCACGCCGTCACTGTTGTTGTTTGGCGAGGTCGGCCTCGGAGACGAAAATAGCATGGAACCCAGCGGGCACTCTCGCCGGCAGTTTGACGATGGCGACCGGCTCCGAACTCATTGTCTTGGCATTGAAAACACGCAGCTCTGCAGAGAGAATCGGCAGATATGGGCGGTGTGAGGAGTCGACCGTCAGTTCAAACATCCTCCTGGCTTCCGAGAAAATCAAACGTTTCGTTTTTCGTACTCTTCGGGCACCGGGAAACCTCGTCGTAATGACCTCAACAAAAAACCTCTCTCACCCAGTCTGACAAGAGTATGCATACGATGGCAAAGAAAGACAGAGGGATCGCATCAAGAAATGAAACCGGTTCATGAAGGCGAAGGCCAAATACAGGTACATGGTACACCCAAGGCAGCTCGACTGTTGATCCTCAAACCTGTAGGTTGCAAGCACCACACGGCAATCTGGTATTGGCAGCAAATGCTCGCAGTTCGGCATCAGTCGAAATTGCTACACAGGGCGGGTTGCTTTTGCGAGGGGTCTAAAGGGGTGATATTCACATATACAACAGGTATTGCTTCCAAGTAACAAGAGTTGGCACTGGGATCCGTCCGGGTTCGTGTGGTGCTGGATTGACCTTTTTTTGCTCATAGCCGTCCAAGGGAGGGTAACGAAGACAAGGGGATGTGGAAGTGCCATGAAGAATGTAGAACACCGTTATCAAGATTGATATTACTGCAGCAAGAGTAAAAACATCCCTCATATGTCGTTAAACTGTTGGACGCGAACATGTTGAACAGATAACATAAGCAACAATCGCAACAAACTGTTCATTCGATCGGACGGACAACCCCTGTCGTTGGTGCCGAACCTAGAGACGACATGTTCAAGGCATGCCTCCATTTCCCAATGAATTTCGTCTCGCCTGAGTTCCCTGTGCCGTCTTTCCGGCTCACGAAGGTTGCCAGGTAGCCATCGTCCTCTCCGCCCTCAAGCTCACCGTCACTGTCACTGTCGCCGTCGTGGCCGGCATGGTCGTCGGGCTTGGAAGGGATGAAAATGCACTCGCCGCCCACAAAGCCATCCTCGTAGTCGATTCGCCCGACTTGCGCCAGTTCTGGCTTTGCCGCCTGAATAACGTCCGATGCGATGCTTAATGGTTTATGGGGACTAATAACGTCATCGTTACACACATGCGAAGCACAAAAACGCACAAATCACCAACGTTTCACACGACGAAGATGGTGATTTTCAAGGTACCATCGACGTCATGGAAGTACAGCGTGACCATGCCCGAAAGCAACACTTGGAGGTGGCTATCAGTTGTGAATGGACATGCTGCAAGTCTGTGTCATACGCGGTTGTTGATGTGGAACAGCCGAATAATCATGTGACTCCCTAAATAGTACACGTAGCAACGTTTGACACCTCCTCCCCTTGTCGTCTACACGGGCTGGTCTAGACACGGGTCGTTATTTCGTTCGCCCCGGTGACGCCGGGGCATAGACCCGAATGCCATCCAAGCCGGTAATTCCTCACTCTAGTGTTGTCCGAACGCCCGTGAATGCCAACAAGCGACCTCTAAACCTCACCTGGAGGTCGACCTTGAGCTCGGCGGCGGCGTCGCCTTTCGAGTTGAATGTGGTGCAGTAACCGAACCTGTTCTTCCTTCCCACGAGGGATCGCCGGAGCTGCGGGAAGTCCATCCCCTCGGAGAAAGGCTTTTCCGGGAGGACACTGTATCTGATGACCTCGCCCGTGTCCAGGTTGAGAATGACGGTGTGCAGGAACGGCAACGAGTCTTCGACGGCACAGAGTAGAAAACGGTGTGAGCGGGTCGGCGTTGAGCGGGTGCGGAGGAAGGGAGGTCGTCGGAGTCGAGAATGACAGAGAAACATTTGCAAAAGACACGTCTGGGGTGAAGCAGAGCGGTGCAGGTCTGGAGTCGCAGGAGATGACTAGGGATTCAGGTTCGATGACGGTAGTGGATGCCGAGAAGAAGGCGTGAAATTACAGGCAAGTCCCGAGTTTTTATTCCAGGAGTGATGTCAACGTTTGTGCGCGCACCGTAACAGAAGTAATACCTGCTCATCGGCCCCAACGGTGGCCATAAAAAAACAATGTAAAATGACAAGATGGAATGACCTTGAGTGTGTTCAGGGCGTCGGCGACACAAATGACAGTTTTGACCGCATGTACCTAGCTTTTTCGTGTTCTTAACCCCCGCTTTATGGCAGTGATCACAATGTGTACTACTGCTGTAGGCTGCTGATGGGCGTGGAAGGCACGCGGGGATCCATGTGGGAGTCAGAGATCCTATGCATGCATCTCTGCTCCCGATTATTTCCGGTGAAAAGAAATGTGCCGGTTTCAATTGCTGGGTTTGCCACCCCTTCAAGCAAAATAGCAAAGTGCCTTCTACTGTATGTCGTGTTTGTGGAAACTACTTCTGCTTATTACCCTGATCGACGCCATGTGCAGCCTTGCGGAAGTCCATATCAAGGTGTTTGGTGTCACAGGTGTGGATCTTGATCACCGAAGATGTATTGGGAGCGACCCCGCCCGGCCCTCCCGTCTGCTCCATCGTTTCCTCCCAAGCGTTGAGGACGTGAAATGCGAAGTACGCCTTCGGTTTCAACCCGTCGTCCGCCAGCCATTAAAACGGGACAGCAACAAGAGGTTTGGTCAACGACGGAAGAGGAAGTGGCGACATAATTTGACTCATTTACGAGAGATTGGGAGACAAGACCCCCAACGTCGCTTTTCTCCACTCTCGTGGTTCGGAGAAGATCATCTATTGTACCTTTACCTACGCAAGGGGGAGAGGAACCAAAGTAAACGGCAGCACTATACATGAAGTATGTAAGAAAATAGAGGGGGGGCAGTAGGTCACTTCCAACCAATAGCCCCGCACTCTTCTTTCTCAGCAGGTGTCGAGTCTGACTGAGCTGTACCATTCGAGATCCAAACAATGCTACCGTAGTACCGCCCCTTCCTCGACATGCGCGTCGCTTTTCCGGCCTGATGCACCCTAGCGTGCTTCAAGGCTGCCGGAGCGTCTGTTTTCCAATCTCTGCAAGCAACGAACCATGGCACTGACACGGCACTGCCCAGATCACCGCCAGAAAGAACTTTTACGAATGAATCCAGTCGCTTTCCGGTCGAATATGTCCCCTTTTTTCTGATGGTGTCTACACTGCTCCCCACTGTTACGAGATGGCTTGTTCTAGCGTCGGCTAACATGCCACGGCTTAACTGCAATGCGTAACATCCATGGGTATGAAGAAATGGGTTTGAAGCGACCCCAAGAGGAAATTCCTGTTGCCATACCTGGGGCATGTCGAACCAGCGCATCTCGGACGAATCGCTGGCGTCCAGACGCAGGATACCCATCCTAATTGGGCGAAGAAAGTATTTCACCACACAACCACGAATATGTGTCCGTCAATTACGCGGCGCTCGCCCTTACAAGCACCAAGAAATAACACGTAGAATGTGCCGAGAACTAGCTAAGCTTGTTTTTCCGAACTGTTCTCGCGCTGAAAGAGTGAACCCATGTATCGTATTGCAGTTCCGCTACTGTGCGATTCCAGGCCGGAGCTTGTCGACCGGAGAGGCAAGGCCGCAGGGTACGAACGACGTGCGAGCGAAGGCTATCCAATGAAACGCGGGATAATAACTACCTATCTATGTACAGTTCTAGGTGATGCAGTTCTATGTTACTTATGTACAGGTTTGGCGGTTTACGCCGCCACTCGACGGCAAAATCTGGACAAATGATCAACGGATGGTATGCGGTTAAAGACTAGACTAACCTGGACCCCGCCGTCTCGTCGAAAACGAAGGGGATTTGCCCGGTCAACATCAGCTCCGGCTTGAACAGCAGGGGAAAGTCCAAGAAAACTGCGTAGTTCTTGGTGATTGCAAAGTCATGCATCATGATAGGCCTCTTGACGTCCACGATCGGAAACTTAAGGCGTCCGGTTCCGGTTGGATGATGTCACATTGAACAAAAAATCAAACAGACAAACAAGCACGAGTCAAAACGTTGGGTGTTCGAAGCTGGGGAAGAGTTGCTACAACGGAGTTGTCCGCGACATTGGGAATTGGCTGATTCAGCGGCCTGAAAATGACGACAAATGACGACTATACGACTCAACTCTACAAGTAGTAATTTGTTCATCACTTCCGTTACCCGGTCCCGCCCTTGCTCGTACTCCGTCAGGCAACTTTGGTTGAGCCAAGCCGATCAATCAAATCTCACTCATTTGTGGCAACCTCGCGTGACCCTGAACGCAGTCCGAAGAACAGGTTTATGACACATGATTCGGTGAAAATGTGTTGACTCTTTTGGCACTTTCTGGTGTTGCGTGGTAGATATGTACGAATCGATCACGAATCGTTTTCATTTCGGTAGGCACCGTTCTCGGAAAAGTTATGTAATTCTGTCTGGGAGGGTGCCGTCAACTTCATTCCTTGTCGGACCCCTGCATGGCGATGCGACGAAGAATTGATTTTTTGAACTTTTGTCGGACCCGGAAAGTACTGCCTGATAGCGTCGCGAGCCTGCATGCGAGCCTGCATCACCGTAGCCTTGTCAGATGGGTGGGCTACACTCGTTCATAACGCCTTGGAAGAATGTTCGTGGTGTCTCTTCATCGGAGTAAATGCCGTCGCTCCACCATGCCGCGTTTTGCGAGCCGATCGCTCCCATTCTGTTGCGTTGGCGGCGACAAGTTTCTCATGTATTTGTTGTCTTTGGAGACATCAAGCCGTGTCTTGAGGGAACCTCTGAAGGCTGCTCCAGAAACCCCGGCAAAGGAGGGTTGCCCAACGACACAGGCTGCGGTTACGTGGAAGGAACTGGGCCTATGTTCGACTTCAGACCTCTTTTCTCTTGGCCAAGGCGATGTTTAGACCCTCAACACGTGTACCGCAAAGAATAACTTTGGGCAACCCATCAACTGTAGGTCCAATTCGAAATTCTTGTTGATCAAGGTCATCAGCGATACCCACATGACGTACACACTCTTTCTGAACGACCGAAGTGGCAGGTGATGAAGATTAAGACCTTGGTCTTCGAACTAAATAGCTAAAGTAATAAGGTTCGAAGACGTGCAAGCTGATGACGAAGTCAAATATTGCACCAGGGAAGTACTTAGTTCGACGTCCAAGGTGTTAAACTTAAGAAGGTGTTCTTTGGCAAGTTGTCTTTTTTTGAGAAGGAAAAAAGAAAAAGACAGCACCAAAAAAGAACCGTAAGAAATGGCCTTATTCACCTGCCAGTTCGTGTGTTGAGAGAAGCAAGACAGGACGCTGCAAGCAGTACACGACTCAGACCCGATGAAAATATTTTCCGTCGTATTCCCACGTGCGGCTGAACATTGTACACCACATTCGCTGATTTCAAGTTTCGTTCAGGCCGTACCTGACGCTCCAGTTTTCCGTTCTTGTCCAGGACGTAGTAGGTCACGTACGGCTTGGTCGAGTCCGTGAACTGGCGGGGAGAGAACAGTAGACACGAGACCAATACAAGCAGAGGTTCTTCAATTAGTCTACAAATAGATACATCAAGTGTGTTCGCATCAACCATGGTGCGATGCAGAGGAAACTAGTACGATTGTTTAAACTCGCCTCAAAACAGCTTGCAGTAGGTGACGGAAGAATCGCAAGAGACCAGGACAAAAAACACCGCTCCATAGGTCTTTGAACAAGCGCTCCCTCCACAAAACTACACGTAATGTTTTTGCGGAATCTGGTTGCTCAGGTAGTGCCACGATTAGAAATAAACTTCCAGAGATTCACATATATATCCCACGACAGGCCACGGTGGTAGTCTCGGTACGATTTGAAGTGCATATCTCTGAGCAGGGAGGAATCATGTCGGACACTGCCTTTCAAGGCCGTGCACAGCTGCATTAACCGAGAACAGAACCGAGGTCAGTGTAGAATGCCCACCGTCCTGACACCATCTCTCTCAAAACAATACTCCCTACAGATCATCGTGGCCGTAGAACAAGCCCTCAGCTTGAAGGAGGCTCGAGTGGATGTCCATCAGGAACAAACTGCCCGGGCTACTCAGACTGCTGTTTTCCACAAATATGTAGTCTATTCATACTGTACGGACTGGTCAATTCACGCGGTTGGGTGGCATTTCCCTACGCACAACAGCGACGGCTATCACGAACATGGTGTCCAGCGCCGTACCATCGCGGGCATCAGAAAGTAGGTCCATACCCCACATTGTGGTCGGACACAGTCATCCAACCTACAGACAAGGATGCAACCCGAAAACAACAACTCGTTAGCTACATGCACATCATATTCGCTAAATGAAGGCGTAGCGGGTTGCCGTACACCTGGTCGGGAGGTCAGCTCTCTCTGGGAATGTGCTGGCTACCATTATCCATCGACCATAACTTGAAAAGTAGAGAAGGCTCCTGACAGCGTCATCGTACGCGCTTATCGATGTCGAGATGGACACGGAAATCCTTGCGTGTAAGGCGATCAACAGGAGATAACAGAATGTTTGGTAACATGCGGGGCCGAATGTCTTCGTCATTGAGGATGCCGTTCTCCGATTCAATAACCTGGTACCTGATAGCCGAACGCGTACAGCTTGCCAGTGTCTGGATCTTTCTTGGGGTGAGCCGTGAACGGCGCCTTCATCTGGCCGTCGAAAGTAGCCTTGCCGATCGTCTCGATCACCCCGTCACACATGACGCGGAGGGCGTATGGAAGACCTCCCTCACAGAGAGCAAAGAGACGGCCTAAAAGAAACAAATGTGGGTAGCAAACGTGGTGTAAAGTAGAAGGATGTCAAAAGCCTGCTGAATAGCTAAAAACACGATATGAGAAGGTAAAGAAATACGGCGCGTTACAAACATGGTGAACGTCAGCGAGAGTGTGAGGAATGTGCAAGCCCAACGAGCTAGCGATGTGTCGAAAGATGGGAGGGACGGGATGGGCACGGGAGGTTAACGAATAACAACGAGAGGAAAGCCCTCAAAAGGTCACATATGTGTCAGTCTTCCGTATCCTCATTTCAGGCTATACGCAGAAAGGACAATTCCTTCATCTCGCCACCTTCTTTCAATGGAAACGAAGCAAACAACTCAAGTCGGTTTCGCACCCGGGCCGTTGCTGCATCCACGCCCCGTCCTTCAGAATGCTCGGCATTAACCGAGTACGGAACCCAGACATCGGTAAGGTTCAATCGAGATCAGAAAAAAAAAATCGGGACAGCTCTCCCCCGTCCTGTCATTGTACATCGCCGTACCGCCGCGCAACTTCCTATTCCTTCAATCCGCGAATCCGACAAAACTACATACTGACAAAGGGAAAAAATATCTACTCTCAGATAGACTCAGAAACGCGAGGTTTCTCTCCATCACGTCGAGGTCCCCGGCGCGGTTGTGGGGGGATGTGAGATCGGCAGGGCACAAGTTTGTGGCAAGCCAGTGTTCGCCGGGGCTTGAGGTGAGGGTTTCGTGTCGCACATGAAACCGTCGATTAGGCACCAAAGCCGCCTCTAACCGGTTGAAGAATCCGAAAACCGGTTTGTAAATATGTCGTCTATGAGGTCCGACCGACGTAAACTACCTACGAGTACTCAGCAGTTCTAACAACAGCAACACCAACACCAACAGGAGGAGCAGCAGTAACAACCGCAACTCTAGCAGCAACATGCGCACCTGCGTGGAAGTCGAGGCTGGTGTTGGCGGTCGTTTCCAGAGCGTCAATCAAGTCAGGGATTATCCCGAGCTTCACTTTAAGGGAGTAAAGTAGCATCTTCGGGATGCCCACCAGAGATGCCATGTCTCCTAACCTGAAGAAAAATAAAACAGATACATGCCCCGACATATCGTCAGCCATAAAGTACGTTTGCATGTTTCGTCGTACAAGACCTAGATTTGGTGCTAAAGGGGTAGCGTCGCTACGTGCGATGGGAGACCACGCGACAACAAGAAGCCGAAACTGCCAATAAGAATTTCATCCACGTGGCGCAATCCTTGCTCCACATGCATATTGCGACTAAAGAACTCGCCAACACGAAATGATCTAACAATGGAGACATCAAAGTCTCACAACAAACTCCAAACACCACAACTGGGGCCTCCAAGTATTTATGCTTGGCTTCGAGCCCTGGCAATTGGCAATGTAGTCATCATCGGTGACCCCGAGAGGAGAGCCACGTACTCTCCCAATAATTGTGAGTTTCTCAAGAGGTGGTGCCTTCCGCACTCTGTTCAACGCTGCGACGAAGTACGTATCTCAAACAATTGACAACGGCGGAACAGTGTCGGAGGGGTCTCAAACGGATGGCACGAACTACAGTACGACAAAATATTTGGGCTCAGCCAATCGTCATCAAAGACCGCATCTTCGTGTTTCTTATTCCTCCCCTCTTACTTGACGGCCACGGCCTCGCCCGCCTCTTCTTCGGTCCTTAGCTTCTCCGTCCTCACGTACCGGTTGGAGTATGTTGCCTTGCCCGCCTTGATCCGGACGCTATGCACCTGGCGTTTCGTGGGATTACTAGGGTGTGCTGAGTTCGTACTTGATATCCGCCACGGGAGCGTACAGGCAGCTTCTTCATTATGTCGTTCGTTGTTGGCCGTGGAATAAGCACCGGAGCGAACGCAGTCAGTAACATGACAAGCATGACGATGTTTCCGAAACGTCGAAAGTGCTCCCTGGAACCACTAGCTGACAGTTTCAACTAGTTCTCTCTCTACGAGCACGCGAACGAGGTAACAGTTGATCATCGGGCGGGCTCGCTCCGTGGTGCAGGGGCCCCATCGTCCACACTTGTTGTCCGAGCTCCAACAGGTAACCTGGTAGTGTCCAGCAAAAACGTCGGTCGTGCCAGGCCAATTTGACGGGCATTTTACCGAGACCCCGGCATTGAACAGAATGGGCCGGATTGTTGTCCAGCCGGAATTATTCAGGGTGGTGAGAAATCTCCAATATTTCCGGTACCAGCACTATTCAAGAAATCGTTGATGGTAGTGAGGTATCCTTGGCCCTAGGCAAACATAGAAAAAAACGCAAAATTAAGTGTGTCTCTCTCGTATCGGGGACATTCGTGAAACATGGTCCGGCCGAGCATCGGAGGCGTGCGCTTATGAAGGAGCGTGGCGTGCAGCTGCAGTGTGTGCGCACTTGATTTGTTCAGGCCAAAATGGTGGTGCTGACAGTGTAAAAGGCCGCAAAGAACCAAACACGGCAGGCAGCCAAAAATATACACATATTCGGTGCTGGTCCCGCCTACAGTATATCCCGTATCTCCATACCAAAGCACCGTCCAAGTATTCGACCATAGAAAAAAGTGGTATAGTCAATATTCAGGAGAGAGCGAGAGTGAAGATGAGAAAAACGCGTGTCACCCAAACGTCTGAGAAGAAGTTGGCCTGAGAGTGGGCGGGCACGAGAGAGCACAGACAAACTCGACTTCAAACAACTACCATCATAAGGAACCGCCACACAGAGGTAGATGGCCTCACTACTGTGTGTCTGTGGTATAAGACGTTTCTATGACACGGTTTGACGAACCCGCAGAGCCCAATACCGGCAGTATACCACGAAACACCCATAGAAATTAAAGTACCGGCCTTACTGGATGAACGTCGTGCCAGCAGAACTCATTGGCGGTACCAAGGGAAGCCGGGATTACTCAAACGGCATCACGTAGCGGGACCACGAGTCTTTTGTACCGCAGCCACAGGTCGACAAATGAAGAACCCCAAACGCAGTGATACTCATACTCTGCTCATTCAGTCCTCTCGTCGTTTTTGGCAACCCTCTTCGAGGTAAGGCTCACCATTCCATCTCCGTCGAACCAGTGATAGCCGGCCTTCGGTTTGAACTTGGGGTTCGGCCCGTTCCGAGCCACAGTCCCGTTAAGAGCCTCTGGAAGCACTCCCACGACCTCGCACGCTCGGGTCGTCTCTTCGTCTACCGGGGCGTAGACCTTGGACAAGAAGAGGTTATCCTTGTCCTAGATTTGGAAAAAGTTCGAAGAAATTGTCAGCCACTGCACAAACGGACGTGGGTGATAACTAGAGTGGCAAGGGGCCCGAGGCAAAGCCGAATGCGAAGTTGATGACATGTAACGTTAGAACGCGCCACCACATAACATATAGTCTAAGAACGTTGCAGCTCAGAATTTGAGCCTCGAATATTCCAAAATCTGCCAACTTGGCCTAAGAACAGGTGGTAAGTCAAGAAGCCTACCTGTAGTCGCCGTGGAGGTACTCGACAGAAAGGGTACAGAAAATACAAAAAACGAGCCCCGGCCAACATTGGAGGTTTATTTGGTGGCCCATTCTGTACAGCAGGGGTAGTCCTGTATTCCCTCACCGTCAAGCGATGTGCCCGAAGAAGACATTAGCACTATAACACTGTTGCACATCGGTTGATCGGCACAATACCGTACAGAAACGATGCGAGAGGTGGTACCGGGTGCGATCGAAAGTTAGCCTGAAGCCTAATAATTTTGACGCTGGCTCTTTTCACGTACTATTGTCCAAAAATACAGAAAGAAAGCAACCTTCCCGCTGGAGGAACCTGGTCCGTTGTACTATGATCAGTGGAAGAGACCATCAAGAGGCGTTCGTGAGTGCTGGCACGTCCAGGTTTGCCACTGGAGCTGAAATATCGAAGGTCGCAGCCTCTGAAAACAGTGCCTAAATCTTCGCCGGAACCAAACGGAATTCAACATTTGTCATAACCAGCCGTGCTCACCACCACGCCGTAAACCCGTCAACGGAGGTCGTCAACAGTAGCTAGTGCCATCCTCCGCTACAGTTCAGGAGATTGGGGTTAGTGGTGGCGAGCACAAGCAGTAAAGACACGGGTGTCGGTCCAATTTGCCGAGCTTTCGGAGATTGATAGGCCACTACAGACTACTGTACGACCATCACAGAAGAAGCAGATTTGAACGCGCCAACACAAACACCCCGTTTTTGTTGTTTTCTTTCGAATTGCTTCATTGTTTTTATTCGGTTTCTAGGAGACACGTTGGGGAGTGAGACACACGGAACGCCCGTCGTCTCGCCAGCCAAATTAACTACAAAGCGCGGCGTTGCCTCTTTCAAAGCTGTCTCACTCCCCGTAAAAAATAATCCAGCCGGGTGACTACGACTGCAAACGTAGGAGTCCCGAAACTGACCAAGCCCCAAAATGGTACACACGACTCTACAACACCTCAACTACATAGAAACCGAATACTCCCTCCCGAACTTATTCCCCCACCTTCGAAAGAAAAGGGATAGGAGGGCGGGATTTTTGCTATACTGCCGCTTCCTACGTTGCGCGGCCACTGCTGTCCTTCCTTCTCTTCGCAAGCTCTGCATCTTCCGCTCGATACTCGGTATGCTACACCGCTTCGCGCTGCTCTCTTCTCAAAGGAACGACAGGGAAGGGGGATCGAATTTCTTCCCCTCGTGATCCCAGGTTTCCGAACAACTACAATGAAGCTAATCCGAAACTGTTCCACCAATAATAAACGCCATTCATTATATTGTGTCTGTTCGGCGAATATACTTTCCTTTGCTAAAGGGGGTCCTCTAGTGATATTACAATACTCATCAGGTTCATAGGAACACCGACATTATTTGAGCGCCTGCCGTTCAGGCTCTCTTGACTTGAATGTAGAGTAGTGCGGACTTTTCTATCTTGATTTCAAAGGGAGCGTGCGTGTGGAGGTAGACGCGTGAAATGTATGTATTGAGCAGCCTCTACTACTGCAGCCCTGTCCGAGGATCAACGATTTATTTTATTCAGGATGCCTTCCGATTGGTCGTGTGTGTCTGTTGTGTATTTGCTGAGGTGCTCTTGCGTTTGTTTTCAAACGTATCATAGTCAACATCCAAAGTTCGTTTGTCCCACCTTCAACTCGGTGGATTGAACTGAACAGCCATCTCTCAACACAAATACACAATCACGGGGGTTGCTGAAGACGCGCGTCCCGGTGCCATCTCTCACACAATTACGTACTCAATACCACCACCATAGGGTTATCGGTACGAGCGTGTGAGAAGTGTCGTACCCGTTGTGTGTTAGTCCCATCTGGCGCCAGTTTACACGCCTTTTTCCATCGGTGTTTTTCCACTGGAAAAAATGATGCGCGGGAAAATTGAACCTCCGCAGAAAGAATCGAACCACGGAACCTGCCGCTATAGGAGTCGCCGCTAGGGATCGTGCAGTGCCACTACTACTGCTGTAGTCTACTGTAGACCACACTGTACAACATACCCGGGTACCTCACAGTGAAGCAGCTCAAAAGGTTTTCTGGGCCCCGGGGCCCACTTGGCATTTGGGGTGAGATTGCGTCGGAGAGATTGCACCTTGGGTCGGAGATGCGTGCACCCGCTCGGAGCAAGATGGCACCGGACCGGCCTGCCGCGGTGCCGTGTTCACTTTGGGCATCGCACCGGCGGTCGGAGAGATGACACCGGACGGAATATCTTGAACAAGCTCGATGAAACGAAAGATTACCCCAGTCGGAGAGATGGCACCGGAGGGGCGTTGAAAGGCGAGATGGAACTAAATATCGTCAGAATCGAACCGTCACTGCTGCTGGTGTATCGTAATTTGTTGCCCCGCGAGAAGAAAAATCTACTGGTAAACACGCTTGATCGCGTACCCAGCTCTCGGATTGTTGGAGATACCGTGCACTCTGGCACTCAACAGGCGCTTCCTGAGGGGCAACTCTACTGTATAGATAGCCTATGCACGCAATGGCCTAAACTAGACTGCTGAAGTGTACATCATTGGTGGATCGATTCGTGGATTTCTCTTGTTGCCCAGGAGCCGTGTACAGAAAACATTTTAGACTGAAACGATCCAAAAAAGCCCACAAGCACGTTTCTTTGATTTGGTGCAGCAGTCAGCCCTGTGCTTTGTATTCTGGCCCCGGCGGACCGCGGCGCCGTCGACCAGATGGATGCCTCCTTCTTGTCGACCTTTCTTGGTGAATCCCCTACTGCTTCGTGACGCCCATGGCCGCGGAGGGGTTTTCCAACAGCCATAGACAACGCAAGCCAGCCCCCCGGCCACGAGGAATTTTTTGGACGCCGATATGCCATTTCCCGCTCCCACAGTCAACTAAAAAGAATCGTCTACGTATCAGAGGTGCTACTGCTGCGGTGGTATCTCTACATTGACTTTGCATCTGATTGACTTTCTATTTTTGCCTCACGGAGCGCTGATGATGCCTTTTCATTGGAGTCGGTTAGCGCCGTCGATGCGACGGCTAGACGTACACGCACACAACACACACACGCAGAGGGACGGGGGTGAACGCACCTGGACGCAAGAACCGGGCGTTAAAAGCTGCTGGCATCGCCGCTACACAAGTAGTACCTACAAGCAGGCGGTCCGCGAGCCAGTAGCACGTGAGGTGTGTCTCACCGGCCAATTGAGGACCCACTCGACGGCCTTGAAGACCCCCTGCAGCACCTTGTTCATGGCTCACGAGGTTGTCGTGCGGTCACTCCGCAGGCACGAGACTGCACGCACAGGCACCGAGTGCAGCTGCCACCACCACGGAATGAATGCGCGTGTCGGTCGTCACACGTCACACGTGGTGGTCGTCGGACAAAACCTGTGTAGCAAAAGTGTCAACGGCACCAGGTGGATCCACTAGAAGAATAAGCATCCACGATGGAGCCAGTTGGAGCCACATCGGAAATAAATACACGGCACAACGGAGGGTTTCTCCCCGATATTTTGCCGTTGATTCAGTAGAGAACTACAGGGGATGTATTGTAAAATGTAAGTTACCTATACAGATGTTTTTGTACTTAGCACCAGCTGGCATCACTGGTATAAATCATCAGTGTATAGACTTAAAAAGACTCGAAATAAGTCCAGTACCCAGCCGGTTTCCCTCCACTCACTGAAAAGACTCCACCACATCCCGTTCGACTGTGGGTATATCTCGAATGGGTAGTCTTTCTGTGTGTGTTTTTTTTATTTCCGACAAGGACTCACCCGACGACTCACCCGATTATCTATGTACAGCACACGCTGCCGAAGAGAAGTATCGCACGTGGATGCTCTCTTTCTTGACTCACCTGAGTTGGCTTGCTCGCTCCGCTCGGGTGGTGACAACTGACCGATATGGGGCACCGTATCTAAATATGCTTTCCAGCGGAAACGTATGTATGGTGGTACTTCAAGCATTTGTTACACTATTCATGGATCCTGGCTATTCGTGGATCCCGGGCTGTTCGGACGGATCTTCCACCTGTTGCACGATGGCTTTAGCATTTTTGTGACCACGGGTCGAGTCTTTGCTAGATTTTGGGATTAGCAACTGACACGAGTTTAATGTGAAGAAAAACAACAACAACAACAACAACAACAACAACAACCCGCCACCGCTGGAAGTTTGTAAATATTTCTTCAATTTTTTTTCTTCACGGCGAAACACAGACTCACATTCTACATGATGATGGCTCGCCTTCTGCTTACAGCAGTACAGGTCCGCCAATACGATCGTCATCAAACAGCACTGACACAGAAATCAACCAACAGCGGTCGCAACACGAACGAGTGCAGCTGTGCCGGTGCTCCTGCTGCTGCTGTAAAGGCAATGACTCCCATCAATCTTGTTTCACTGACTGCGTCATTTCACCTTGGCACGCGACTTGGTGTCACAGAAGTTATATACTTCGTAAATAATGGATGCAAGAAAGTTTGGTGTTGGCCCGTCAACCGGATGCCGTGTCACAACAACCGGTATTCTGCGTTGTCCGGCTTGTGTCCTCCTTGCATTTATCTACAGAATAGCTGGCAAAGAATTGTTGGTGACAAACCACGGGTCTATGCCCATGCGAAGTAAACGTCCGAGACTGCAACTACACTTTATGTATGTCATCGGAAGTCCGCGGGGCTCTGATGAGTCACGCAAGGGACGCCGTGGATAGAAATCTCTCTCTCCAGTAGGGGGGTCAATGACTTGTCTTCGTGAACGAAGCCCCCAGTATATTTCCTATATATGCAGAAATCGAAGGTTGCCCCGGGGGGGGTAGCTAGGGGGAAGGAAGTGGCCTGTGTCCAGAATTGTTGTTCACTACTGTAAAATGGATATTTTGGTGAAAGTGCCAAATTCAATCCTGTACTACTCATTGATTCAGGTGGCGGTGATGAATTAGGACAGTGGTCCTTGAGCTTCGCTTGGTCAGAAAACCCTCGCCGAAGTTGGACGGAATAATGACCGTATCGGCGGGGGGGATTTCACTCCCCACAGCGACCAGGAATCCCCGCGAAACCGAGGTGCGTCATCCAATTCGCAAGAACTTTTCAAGAAAGAATAGTGTTTACTTGGTATCCTCTCCCAGAGGTCACGTGTGGAGCGAGTACGTGTATTGGTGTTGTAAGGATGGGTGGATGTAACGGCATTATGAGGTCAAACAGGGAACACGAATCAGGGAAGGAAGAAAATTGAAAAGCTCGTGTTTGGGCCAGCTTACGGTTGTTTGATTGTGGGCTACCACCATCATCCCGCCCAAAAGCGGGACCAAAGCGTCCGTATTATCCAGCGCGGGTCATACACCCAACGTACGTGTACGCTAAAAAGTCGCATTGGATAAGATAGAGTGAAAAACGAAGAGTCAAACATGAGCCAACAATGGGCCAAAACCGCAGTTCAACACGAAGGGCTACCCAGCAGCATCACTCCGGCTGGCGTGTTGCTTGATCAACCTCACACCAGATCGTGACATGGACCTGTGAAGCGGAGGATGCGCCGCCTTCTCCAGCTCATGTTCCGTCCCTTGTCTTCCCTCGATTTACGCGACGGGGCCAAGTGCGCTGGAATATCATGACGGGGAAAATCAGACAACCCGGCTCTACTCTGAAAAAAGCAGAGTGAAATCGGCTGCAACATCACCAACGGCAATAAGAGAGGGCGGGCCCGTTACTGCCGTTGTGTGGCGAGTTCGGCCTCGGGGACGAAAATTGCATGGAACCCAGCGGGCACCCTCGCCGGTAGCTTGACAGCGGCGACCGGCTCCGAATTCATTGTCTTGGCGTCGAAAACACGCAGCTCTGCATTAATAATGGGGCAACACGTCCGGGTATGTGCAATCGGTCTTCAACTCAAACATCCTTCTGACTTGCGAGAAACTCATACGATACGTGATTCGTAGTCTTGAGCGCCGGGAAAAGTCTCATCTTACAGTACCAGCCTCGAAAACTCTCACTACTTCACCAGTCTGATGCTGATGAGAGACGACATATATATTAAGATATGACGGGGGTGCATGAAGGGGACGGTGAAGTCGTACATGTGCATGGTATACCAAACACGGATTCCGATATGTCGCCCAACCTTTCATAGTGAAGACCTTTAGGTTGTAAGCACCACACGACAATTTGGTATTCGCAACAAGTGTGCGGAGCTCGACATGGATCGAAACTAGAGAGCAGAGACTAAAAAGCAGGGCAGAAATTTTTCCTCACACGCTCATGTGGAAACCAATGGAGACGGGACGAATCTCTACGGCAATAGCCACCAAGACAAACTCACAACGGATTGCAACTGTGCATTCGATCAGGTGCACAAACGATTTCGTTGGTGCTACGCCGAGACGAATTTACGGAATGTTCCGATCTCCACATGAGAGTTATGTTCACCTGAGGTCCCAGTGCCGTCTTTCCGGCTCACAAAGGTTGCCAGGTAGCCATCATCCTCTCCGCCCGCAAGCTCACCGTCACCGTCACCGTCGTCGGGCTTGGAAGGGATAAAAATGCACTCGCCGCCCACAAAGCCATCCTCGTAGTCGATTCGCCCGACTTGCGCCTGTTTAGGCGTTGCCGCCTGCACAGAGTGTTCGATGCGATGCTTAGTGGGATGATGGGAACCGATAAGCGAGGTCGTCGTCACACATATGCGAAGCACAACAACACAAAGAAAAACCGCACTCCCGCAGAATGGACGACCAAATTTCGCGCAATGAAGATACGATTTTCAAGGTACCGTCGATTTCATTTGACCAGGTTATTTAATGCTATAAGCGCCGAGGGGCCATGCGGAGAGACAGTCGATATTTTGTAGTAGGGAAGTTCTGTAAGTCTGTTTCGTGCGCGGTTCTTGGTGTGGAACAGCCCATCCTTCATGGGGCTCCCTGAACATTACACCTGGCAGCAAAACAACTTCGCTCCGGCTCCTCCGCTTGTCGCCTACACACCGGTTGTGATTGTTTTGTCTCGAGGACGTCGGGCAGAATACCCGAAGACCATCCAAGCCGTTAATCCCTCCCGCGGATGTTGTCCGAACGCCCATGAATGAGGACAAGCAACCCCAAATCTCACCTGGAGGTCGATCTTGGCCTCGGCGATGGCGTCGCCTTTCATGTCCATGACGGTGCAGTACCCAAACCTGTTCTTCCTTCCCACGAGGGACCGCCGGAGCTGTGGGAAGTCCATCCCCTCGGACAAAGTCCTTGAAGAAGGGAGAACGCTTTCTCTAGTGACCTCGCCGGTGTCCAGGTTGAGAGTGACCGTGTGCAGGATGGCCAATTCATCTTGGAATCACACAGAACCGGGTATGGGCGGGTCAGCCGCAAGCGTGGGTGGAGCAAGAAGGTCGTCGAGTTCGGGATCCACAGAGAAACATTGAGCGACAGGAAGGAGTGAAGCTAGCGGTACAGGACTCGGGACGCAGGAGATGGAGTAGGGTTTCAGGGTAGGGTGGTCAGGACGGTGGACGTCGGGAGAGGCGCGAAAGGAACGGCCAGATCCAAGTGTATCTTACTGCTGAGTAATGTCAACCTGTCTGCGCCCGCCATAAACGCCAATCATGGGCTGCAACGGTGGCCCGTCGAAAAAACATTTTCATGTGTGTTTGTGGGAACTGCGTCTGGTTTTTACCTTGATCAACACCATGCGAAAGCTTGCGGAAGTCCATCGTCAGGCGACTGATGTCACATGTGTGGATTTTGATCACCGAAGTTTTAGTTGGAGCTATCCCGGCTGGCCCTCCCGTCTTCTCCATCGTTTCCTCCCACGCGTTGAGGACGTGCAAGGCGCAATACGTCTTCGATTTCAACGCGTCGTCCGCGATCAAGGAAAATGGAATAATTAGAGTTTAGGCCAACGAACGAAGAGGAAAAGGCGGAAGTATTGAAGACAAGCGCCCGCAAGACATCACCCGCCAAATACCTACCTCACTCTGTTTACGAGGAGAACACCTTTGTAACGTTTCTCACGTAAGATTGAGAGGAACAAAATACACAGCACTATTTAGCTACGAGAGCAGGGGGGCACTCCTAACCAATAATCCCACACCCTCTTTAGCAGGTGTCGCGTCTGGCTGAGCTGTGCCATCCGAGATCGAAACAACGTTAGTGCAGCCCCTTCGTCCACATGTGCATCGCTTTTCCGGCCTGGCGCACCCTGTAGCGTGCTCCATGGCGGCTGGAGCTCCTGCTTTCCAATCTCTGCAAGGATCAAACCATGGCACTGACGGCGACACTGTTCAAATTTCTAACCGCCAGAAGCCCTTTGTACGAATCAAGTCGCTTTCCGATCAAGTTGCTGTCCGATCGAATAAGCCCCGGTTCTGGTTGCAAACTGCACTGCTCCCTACTGTTCCATGTTTGGCTTGTGCTGGCGTCGGCAGTCATGGCACGGCGTCATGCAATGCGTTACGCTCCTCCTAAACATGGGTTCGAAGAATCGGGTCGTGTTTGAAGCGAATCCAAGTAATAATTCCTTTGTGCAAGGTTTGAGTAAGATTCAACCTTGCACAGACATCTTGTGGGTATCCGGGTGTGTTCATCCTTTGGCCTCCATGATTCTGTTGTCATTACCTGGGGCATGTCGAACCAGAGCATCTCGGACGAATCGCTGGCATCCAGACGGAGGACACCCATCCTATTTTGGCAAACAGATATAGGTTTCACCCAGCGAAGCGGACGCCAACGAGAAGCGGTCAGCACTACACGCCGGACGTGCCCTTTCAATACACCAAAAAGCACAGTATACCAGTCAACATATAGCCTATGCCGAGAACACAAGAGTGCCCTCTTGTTGCTCCGAACTATTTTCGCGCTGACAGAACGAAAGCATGCATTGTATTGGAGTTCGGCTGTGTGAATCCAAGTCGGATCTTGTCAATTGGACAGGAAAGGCCGTAGGGTAGGAATGACTTGCGAGCGAAGATTGTGCTATGAGATGGCGGCAGACATCAACCATATGAGTACTACCCCGCACACGACGTAATTTCTGCAGTTTGTACAGAAAACCGGTTGAACGGCATGTTGAGATGCAACGTTGGAACCGCGATGATATCGGGCATTTCCTATTGCGTCGCCACCGGGAAGAAAGCTGCCAAACTTCCGGACGAGAGCCTTGCTATACTACGTATGTTCTGAAGAATCGGCGGCTGATGCCGCCACTCGCCGGCAATTATCAGGAGAAAGAAGGTACTCGTTTGAAGACAAACCTGGAGCCCGCCGTTTCGTCGAACGCGATGGGGACCTTCCCCGCCAGGATCAGCTCCGGCTTAAACAATAGTGGGAAGTCCAGGAAAACTGCGTAGTTCTTCGTGATTGCAAAGTCATGCATCATGATAGGCCTCTTGATGCCCACAATGGGAAACTTCCGTCGTCCGATTCCGGTAGGATGACGTCACAATACACAAACGAACGAACAGACAAATGAACTTTGGTTAATAAATGTTGGGTGTTGGAAGCTAGCTAACAGTAGCCGCGGTGGCGGCATCCTCGACAACTGGAGTCATCATCGGGGGGCTTCGTTGATTTCGGCGAGCTGAAAACGGCGAGGGGTATTTGCTCATCTGGATGGGAAGCGTATACACCCGTTATCGATTCACACTAACCCTATTCTCCAACACGGAAAGACTTGAACGGCGCGACATTATTGGGGCGAGTGGCGAGAAACCTGGCGGTGGCTTGGTCTAGCGTCGTTCACATGCTTGTGGTTTGCACGTGTATGGTTTCGTTTTCCGTACGACGATACCTCAACTTGGAGTTGGTTCAATAAATTTCCGAGTGGTGGTTTAATCGCCATGTTTCTGAAGGTCGGTTTGCCATAGAGTACAATGGATCGGATGCTTCCCTAGAAGAAAGGCAACCTCCGTCGATTCTTCGGAGCGGCCTCTTTAGTGACACTTCTCAATGGACCTCGAGCTTCTCTCTTTTCGTTCAGCCGCGATCTCTTCCTAGACAATTATCATGGCAGTTGTTGTATCACACTGTCCTGAAGCCAAGGGGCTTCCGTTTGATCAAACTATTTCCTTTCGGGCCAGACTCGTTGCCTTGCGAAACGCGTGAAACGAACAATAAACAAAGTATGGAGTAAGTTGGTGCGTACAGAAGTCATTCTGGTAGACAGGTCCGACGGAAACGCGACGAATAAACGACGATGTTGAGCCCTTTCGCAGGGCCCGAAACGTATTGCCTCATGGCACCGCGAGTCTGTAGCACCGTGTGGCCTGGTCAGATGCGCAGCCTTCACTCGCTCATGACGCCTTAGGAAAATGCTGGTATTGTTGTCGAAACTTTCGGGGCAAAAGCCGTCGTGCCACAAGGCCAAGTTATGCGAGCCAATCACTCGCACGCTTTTCTTTGGCGGCTTCCAGTTTCCAACTAGGAATCCAACACGACATCAAGGCTCGTCTCCAGGGTGCCCCCGACGGCTGGGTCCGACACCCCGATCGAGGAGTGTGGCCTGACTAAACAGGCCGCGGTTACGTGGAAGGAGCTGTGCCCGCATGTTCAACTGAAGACCTCGCTTCTCAGCTCATTCGATGCTTCGACCTGAACAAGTGTGCCGAAATCTACACTTTGGACAACTCAACCCGAACTTTGAGCCACATTTAGGCAACACGAACTAGAGTAGTTCTTGCAGATCAAGCTCATCAGCATGACACACATGATATACACGTGATTGAGAATAATACCTTCGGCTTCGAACTATAGTATTTCAGGGTCCGAAGACGTGAAAGGCGATGACGAAAGCAACAATTTCACCAGGGAAACCCACGGCAAGACAGAGGACCCTTCGGGCTTTACACGGCTCAGATCCGGCGAAAATGGTTTCCGTCGTAGTCCAACGTGCGGCGGAAGCTTGTTCACGATTCGCTGAAGTCAAGTTTCGTTCAGGCCGTACCTGACGCTCCAGTTTTCCGTTCGTGTCCAACACGTAGTAGGTGACGTACGGCTTGGTGTTGTCCTTGAACTGGCGGGGAGACACAATTGACACGGCGAACAAAGATATCAACATAAAAAGAACATGTTTTCCAACTAGTACAACCAAACGCAGGCAAGCGTTTCGCCATGGGATCCATGGCTACGATGCAGTGAACAATAATACGATTGTCTGGCATCCCTTAAACACATCCGTTAGGATACTAAAGCGGGAGCAAACGAAATGCAAGAGCCAGTGAAAACGATTGGTCTACAGGTCTCTGGGTGTGTTCTCCATCTACAAACCACACGTGGAAACAATACACGGATTATGGTTGCTCAGGTGGTGCCACGAACAGAAAGTAACTAGAAGCCAGAGATTCACGCTTCCCGCAAGGACACGGTAATCAGGGCACCAAATGGGCGCGTGTTTCCGAGCAGGGAGGAACCATGTCAGACACTGCTCGGCCTTTTAATTGGCAATGAATAGCGGCATTCGCCAACACAGACCAATCAGTGTTGAAAGCCCACCGGCTCCACAGCACCTTTCCCAACAAGTTACTCCCGACAGAGGGCTAGGCGATTGATCGTCGCGGCCGGTGAACAGAGTCTACGGCCTCAGGGAGGCTCAAATGGATGTCCACTACGAACAATATGCCTTGGCTACTCACACTAACTCTTTCTCCCACAGAGTCTACATATCCCGCATGACCTTGTCGGTTGACACGGTTGGGTGTCATTCTCCCACGCGCAGCGGACACGGCTGCGAACTTCGCGCCCAGCGCTGTACCACCGCGGGCAGCAGAAACATCTTTTAAGTAGGTTAACATCCCAAACATTCGGAACCAAGCCCACGTTGTGGTGTGACACAGTCATCCAAATACAGGGAAGGACGCAACATGAACACAACGTCTTGCAAGCTACGATGCACATCTTATCCGCCCATTGATAGCGTAGCGGGTTGCCGTACACCTGGTCGGGGTTCAGCTCTATGTGGGAACGTGCTGGTTATTTTGCTATGGAAGAAAACTTGGAAAGTAGAGAGAGTTCCTGAGAGTCATGGTACGCCCTGAATTCCATATGTCGAGATATAGACGGAAATCCTTACGTGTACGCCGATCAATAGAATAGAACAGAATGGGTGGCACCAATGCGTGCCGAAGCCTCTGGTAAGTAATATAACACACCGTTCTTCAGTGCAACAACCTGATACCTGGTAGCCAAACGCGTGCAGCTTGCCAGTGTCCGGGTCTTTCTTGGGGTGAGCCGTGAACGGTGCCTTCATCTGGCCGTCGAAAGTAGCCTGACCGATCGTCTCAATCACCCCGTCACACATGACGCGGAGGGCGTATGGAAGACCTCCCTCACATAGCGCAAAGAGACGACCTACGATATTCAAATGTACCGGTAGCAAGAAAAACGGTGGAAACAAAGAAACGGACGTTGCCTTACGGCGTCTGTTCGCGAAAACACGGTGTGAGAACGGAAACTTGTCGGGCGCGTTAGACAGGTGGTGGACGTAAGCGAGACTGTGAAGGATATTCTAGCCAACCGAGCTAGCCATGTATTGAAAAGAGAGAGGGAAGGGATGGGCGCGGGGAGATTAAAGGCAACAAGACAGGGGACAAAACAAGGGAAATCTCTCAAAGGTCATACATGTACGAGCCTTCCATATCCTTTTTCAGACAATACGCCGGAATGACGATTCTTTTACCTTCTTTGTGTGGAAACGAAACAAACAATGCAACTCAGTTTGACCCCTGGGCCTTGTGGTGTCCACGTCCCTTCCTTCGGAAATCTCGACAAAAAAAAACGAAAGCCAGCATGCTAGGTGAAATTCAAATCAATGTCAACTCGGAGCAGCTCCCCCCCGTCCTGTCAGTGTACGTCGCCAAAGCGTCACGCCACTTCCAATTCCGTAACTCCGCCACTCCGAATAGAGTACGTGAAAGCGTGAAACGTCTATTCTCATGCGGACTCGGAAAGGCGAGGCTTCCTTCCGTCACCATGACCTCCCCGGCATCGTTGTGGACAGAGGTGAGATCAACAGGAAACGTGTTTGTGGGTCGGAGATATTATTGTCCTCAGCCACGTGTTCGCTAGGGGTTGAGGTGTGGCTTCCGTGTTGCAGATGAAATAGTCCAATCGCCACTGAATCCACCTTTACCAGTTGCCGAATCACAAAGAAAACGGTATATATCTCGTCTATGAGATCCGGCCGATATACCGTTGTCTCCGAAGATAACAGCAACCCAACAAGAGTAACATCCGGCCCAACAACAGAAAACACTTTAGTAACATGTGCACCTGCGTGGAAGTCGAGGCTGGTGTTGGCGGTCGTTTCCAGAGCGGCATCCAAGTCAGGGACTATCCCGAGCTTGACCTTAAGAGAGCTAAGTAACATCTTCGGGATGACCACCATAGACGCCATGTCTCCGAAGCTACGAAACAACGATGAAGAGAGCACACGGGCATGCCACGAAATGAGGTCAACCTCAAACTACGCTCGCGTGTGCACGTTTTCGTCGTTTCATGACTTTGGTTTGATGGTACCGTGGCTAAGTGGGATGAGATACCACACGACGAGAAATCGGAACTGCCGACAGGAACCTCATCTAGGTGGCGCAATCCTTGCTCCGCACACCCACCACCGTACTCGCCAATACGAAAGAGTCTCACGTTCAAGACATCAAGTCAAACGAAACACTCCAAACCATCACAACTGGGACCTCCCAGTAAAATGCTTGGCTTCGAGCCCTCGCAATGAGCTATATAGTCGTCATCTGATATCCCCAGAGGAGAGACACGTACGTCGAAATAACTATGAGACTCTCAGGTGGTGGCACCTTCCGCACTCTATTCAACGCTGTGCCCACGACTTATCTAAAAAAAATGTCAGCAGCGCAGAATAGTCACCGAGGGGCCTCAATCGGATGGCAGCAACACAATTTTCGAGCCCTACCAATCGTCATCAGACCGCACGTTTGTCATTTCCGTCTCTCTTTCTTACTTCATGGCCACGGGTTCGCCCGCCTCCTCCTCGGCCCTTAGCTTCTCCGTCCTCACATACCGGTTGGAGTACGTTGCCTTTCCGGCCTTGATCTGGACGCTGTGAACCTGGCGTTTCGTGGCACCTTTAGAATATACTGACTTCGTGCATGATGCAAGCCCAGGAAGGAAATTCTGGACTCTCAGGCCTCGAGAGAGGAGCGGGGGCAGGCTGAGAGGAAAATCCGAAACTATGTAGAAATGAAACCCTCTCATAGTGAAAAGACTAAATAAAACAGCCTAGGCCTGGACAGCGCTATTGTATTAAGTACGTGTGTAGACGGAGGGGAGAAAGTGCACATTCTTCTCGCACTGAAAATCGAAGGCAACGCACCGCTGGTGTGCGACTATGTTTGGAAGCATGAACGATAAATGAAAAGTATTCATGAGTAAGCGAGTGTGGAGATGACAACATAACTGTGGCCAAAAATCTGAGCAGAAGTTGGCTACGGTATGTGGACAACACGGGTCTCCCACAGTTTCTACAGTTTTGCTAAACCGCCCACGGGGAATGCCACCGGCAACCCATGGGGAGCCCTTGAGGGCCCATAAACCGTCAATGGGTGCTCTTCAACCGGAACCAGTGTGCTAAACAACACCGTAGATAACCTGCTTCGGAAGGGGCATTGAAACGGCAACCAACTAACGCTATCCCTAACCCTAACCCCAAGTCCACACGATACGTGCTAGGTTGGCGCTGGCTAAGTTCAATGTAGATTGACGTGCCGGTGGCAAAGTTCTAGGTTGATATGCCGTGGCGAAGTTCTAGGTTGAAGTGCCCACGGGCAGTTCATGGGCTGCCCATGGGCCCACCCATAAACTGCCCATGGGTGCCCCATGGGTGCCCCATGGGCGGTTTTGCGAAACTGTCAGTAGTGTGGGAGATTGGACAACACAGAGCACCAGACAAAGTCGACTTCAAACAAATACCAATGGTACAGGATCTCCACAACATAGGAAGATGGCCTCACTGCTGTGTGTTTGTGGTGCAAGACATTTTCAAAAACAGAGGGCTGTTCCACGGACCCGCAGCGCTAAATACCGGCAGTACATCGCGGAACGCCCAAATACCGGCACTGTTGCTGGGCCGTGCCAGCAGAACTCACCGGCGGTACCGGGCAGCCAGCATACTCAAAACGGCATTCCATAGCGGGATCATTTGCGGTTTAACGAGGCTACAGGGAAACAAACCCAGAGCCCCCGAACGCAAGGGATACTCCGTAATTCAGTCGTCTTGTCGTTCTTGGCAACCCTCTTCAAGCTACAGCTCACCATGCCATCTCCGTCGTACCAGTGATAGCCGGCCTTCGGTTTGAATTTGGGGTTTGGCCCGTTCCGAGCCAGCGTTCCGTTCAGAGCCTCTGGAAGCGCTCCCACGACCTCGCATGCTCTGGTCGTCTCTTCGTCTACCGGGGCGTAGACCTTGGACAAGAAGAGGTTGTCCTTGTCCTAGATTTGGAATAAATTCGAAGGAAATGTCAATCATTGCATAAACCGCCGTGGGTGATTAGGTGCCAGAGGAAAAACCGAAAATTCGAATTTGAATGAACGATTGGTGATACAGAGTAGTGCCCACCAGTAGCGCCAGAATGCGCCCGCCACCGGCGCTCAACCAGCACCACGGAGGAACCACTACTGCAATACTATTGCAAAAATATTGGTTGAGGTTTGGTAGACTGTTCGAGTCAAAAACACAACCAAATTATTTTCTACTTGTATCTACGGTGTGTGAACTGCTCTTCTGTTGAGGTTGGGGGACGTCACAAACGCAGCTGGCAGCCAGCCGCCGTGGGTTGGGCCTTCTGCCTGCTTCTATTTTAACCTTGCAGGACCGCTTGCATGACACTGCTGTTGTGCTCTCATGAAGTCACGCTCCGGAGGTCGCCTGAATGTGAAGCAATGGAGGGAAAAAAATCGATGAAGTGTGTGCTTTGGCACAACTTTCTCTGGCGGCAGCAAATCTTTTGTCGCGCCTCCTTCTCAGGGGCACGCTGGGGGCACGTCGGTACATTACCGCGGATGAACGAGGGCCGCCAGTCGCCCGTGGCACGTGTAATCGACGCCCAAAGTCACCGCGACTGCCTCTACTTCGCGGAGAGACATTCCACCAACGATCGCCTTCGTAGAAATACAACAATCAATCCTGCTTGCACCACGCATAAATACACAGCTCAAACACAGCGCACATTGGATTCCTAAGCATTCCCACACAACATGAAAGCAACCACGGTACAAATAATGAGAGCGAGCCATCGCGCAGCGAGTTGCAGCAGTAGGTTCTGCGGTTGAGATGCAACAACCACGCCCACGCAACACGGACGTGAGAAATTGAATTCGACCATATTACCCCGCACATGGCGTGGTTCAGTTGTGTACCGAACTGGCTCCACCGAAGGTTGCGATGCACGATACTGCTGTCCGCCGTGATAACCTTGGCCATGTCCTCTTACGGCGCCCACGGAAGGCAACTGGTCAAACTCCCGTAGGAGGATTACAAAGGGTACCTGGTGATTTCCTTACTGCTTCATTACACCCACATCACCAAGGCTACCGCAATCATTGCCGGCCTGAAACGAAGAAATATTCGCCGCTTGCGTGCGTGCCCTCGACGCCGTCAAACACAGCCAGGGAGCTACCTGGAATACCTCTGGTTTCAGCTGCATAGAGAACTGCACTGAGACTAACTCAATTTCATTGGAGCCGGTTAGCGCCGTCGATGCATACAATAAGGGCCCACCACCGCAGTCGGTACTACTGCTGTGTGCTCCTAGAAATGACACACGAACAGCGAAGAGACGGGGCAACACACAACCAGCGGTAAGAACAGGTCCAAAGGGTTGACATTGCTGACATCTTCGCTCTCTACAGCACGCATTGTGAATCGCCTACCAGTAAAAACTCGCTGGTCTGCTTTTAGATCCAGCACATGTGGCTCACCGGCCAATTGAAGATCCACTCGACGGGCTTGAAGGCCATCTGGAGCACCTTGCTCATACTGCTGTATGCTTCGTGCCGTATGTACTTCACGTCGTTGTTATGTGGCTGTTTCCGCAGTAGACAAGGTCGCTGCCTCCACCCTGATCGATACTTCGGGTTGTGCGGAGTTGAAAGCAGCTTGGCCAAGGCAGACCAAGACGAACAGAGAGGCGAGTTGAAGTATTCAGTGGTGGTGCCGGTGCCCACAGTCTACAAGTAGGTACTTTTGTAGAAGATTCACGCCAGCTCATGCGCCGTTGTAAGCTTCAAAGGCCCTTGCTCCAAGGAAAAAAATCAGGAATTTCTCGTCTACGAAATCTCCGTAGATATTCGCGTGGTACGCGACATACGTCAGTATTTATTCGCGAGGTGTACATGAGATGTGTGAACGGTGGCCATCTGGCGCTTTCACGATAGCCCCGCGTGGTAGGCAACACACGGTGCACATACCCTGTGTCAATTGGAGTCTTGTAAGGCAAGATGCAGGAGTGGGTACAGTACACAACTGAGAGGAAGCCTGTCGGCAGAAGGCAGTGTTCGGTTTCCTTTCAACGTGTTTGTTCCCGCCCCCCGCCGCCCCCCTCAGGTGTTGTCCGGTGCTGCTGCGTTCTATGTGAGCATCAACCGCACACTTCCTACCGTTGTGTGCCGATTGCAGTCTGGTAGATAGAAGAGCGAGATCCCGGTGGGGGGTTAATCAAGACTTCAGTAGTATCTATCTACCTACGAGCTGCGGTATGGTATAGCATGTGAGCCGAACGCTAAATACCTGCTGTTCCGTTACATATGGTGCGTGGATGTGCCTGCGTACAAGCTCCTCTTAGTCAAATAGCAAAATTGTACAATGTTTGTGCTGTGATATTGTCGTATACCAACGTCCGAAGGTGGCCAATGCTCACCGCAGCTACGTCAGTATCTACAAGCACGATGGCCCAAGTTCATGTGCCCAAGTTGATCTCCCCGGGTGTTGCGCCGCGCCGTTCCCGTATTTGATTGGTCGCGACACCCACGAAATAGAGCCAGCTGACCATGGGCGTCGACCAAACGCACCACGGACACATGAAGGATTCCGGGCAGCAGCACGACAATGTACCGACGCACCTCCTGAGTAAGCCGGAGAAAGAAGCGCGACAAGAGGTACGACACTGCTGCCAGAGAAAGAATCCGTCTTGGTGGACGCATAAACTGCTGCAGCACAATAGGTACATAAATGTCGTTGTGGCCACCCGCCTACTTCACAGTACGATCAGTGTTGCAATAAGATGGCTGAAGATGGCGATGAGTCCTGAACTTCTTCCTTTCTGTTCAAGGCGCGGCCGTCGAAGGCGCCGGAAGGTCCCGAAGGTACATAGCGTCATTCAAATGAATCTCTGTCCGGAACCAACTCTTACACCTTTATTGGGACGTTGGTGTGACATGGCCTCCCGACACGAAAAAGACAACAGTCGTAGTAGCGTGAGGTGTATACGCCGATCTCGGTTTTAGGCCTGGCGTGGCCTCCTCGCTAAGAACACAGTGTACGGTACATGCATCAATCTCGACCGTTCCCCCCGTGCAGAGCATGAGGCGCTGGCATGTTGTCTCCATCCGGTATATTTGTAAGACTAATTGTTTTGTCCAGACTATTGCTTGTGTGTGCATTGATATTTGGATTCTGTATTCCGACAGGACTGTGTCAAGAGGTATCGCAGATAGGAACTGATACGTAGTTACCCTGGGTTGGGTTTATTGTTGCTTCTCGCCGCGGGTCTCACACACAAGGGTATAACGAACACTTAGGGGGTATCCCTCGAGGGAATCCGTGTTGGAGATGAGTGGCGCAGATGCTGGAGCCGATTCCGCCGACGGTGTGCGAGGCAGCTTCAACGATCTGGAGGGCAAAGTCTCTAGCATCTGAGGCCAAGTGCAGGAGCTGACGGGCAGGCCAAGTGCAGGGGCTGACGGACCTGCTGCCAGCCGCCATTGCAAAGGGAGAGAAAGAGGGGGAGTCCGGCGGCGTCACAGTGGGTGCTGTCGCTGCGGGTGCTACGTCTGCCCTCGGTCTGCTGGAAGAGGGGCAGCACAACGAGGGAATCACGCCGCCCACCAGCACACGAGAGGAGAAGCACCAGACTGTGAGCCAGCCTGGTAATGTCATGGACCCCCGCTGGAGTGGGCCCGGGTACAGGACCGGGCAGCGGAGACGTCGAGAGGTCACTCCCCCAAGAGACGCCTGCTGCGGTGGGCGTTTGCATTGACTACACAGCTGCAGAAGAGATCACCAGCAGTAGGCCGGTTGCGGAAGACGAGCCAGTGTGGGCGTTTCAGGTCCCTGCAAACGGTGGGTTTGATAGATCTTTAGCACCGAATATCTCTACAAGATATAGGCAGCGCTGGTAAAGGTGCAGCCGCCCCCTGAAGGCACTGGTCGAAGAGTCCGAGCAACATGCTCATCGCGTCGGGACAAGCGGTGTGGCGTTGGAGAGGGTGCCGAGAACGGCACACCAAGTGCGCCTGTTCACCGCGGGAAAGTGCTTGCGTCTAGAGAGCTGGGGAAGCATGCAACCCCACCACACTGTCGATGCGCCATCGAAACAACCAACACAAGCTATTTGTGGGACGATGAGAAGATGGACGCGGTGGGGTGACGTAGTAAATAACATCGGTACATCCAGCGGTTGCATCGGTCGGCATCGCGCAAAACCTCGTAGGTATACCTGGGGATCGTGGCGGCGAGCAACGCGAGCATACAGAAAAGGCAGTGCTGGCAATCATGGCGGCAAGCCATAACGAGGAGCTGGATGTGACACGGGAGGCCTTGTAAAATCAGGCGGGGGAAAGAAACTGACGCCGTATGGTCACTGCGCGCATTCCATCTACACGCAGCACACACAGCAACAGCAGCAGCAGGACATGGTGGAGATGGCCACCATAGCAGCAGCGTGGAAGGGTGGAGTCACAGAAAACGGCCGAAAGGCCGTGTGTCCTTAGTTGCGACGGAAGGGGCGTGGTGGGGGCAAAAAATTGAGAACGCGGCGGAATGATCGTGTGCCCGTAGCCATGGCGGAAGGGGCATGGGAGGGCAACAATCAATGCAGCCCCATGGCGCGTCGGAAGGGGCGTGGGGGGGGATGTACTCATTGTCGTACGTAGTCGTTAGACCATTGACCTCGCATCCCTACAAAACCGGGACGGAGCACGCCGGGTTCTCACCGGACCAGGCTCTCACGTCACCAAGCGCGAAGCACCGTGAGGTATTCGGCGAGTCGCGTGAAAGGTGCGCTGCATCCTGCTAAGGGTGTGCGGCATAGTGTGCTTCATTCCTTGCGTACGGATGACAGCTGCCTATAACTTTATTTATTTTCTGGTGCTTTCATTTCCAGAGACAGTTATAAGCAACGTGGAAATGCCTCGAGGATGCTTGACCAATTTAACACAACGTGGTGCGATCATCCCCTTTGCACGGAGTGATCGTTCTCGGCCCCACACAACATTAATCTACAAGACAACCATTCATTGCTACCGAAAAAAGAAAGCAGAGGCAAAAAAGCGGAACGGTGGTTGCCAAGCTCACGAAGTGATCGGCTTGTTTTACAACATCGCTGCCAAGGGACGAAAACCCTACCCCGATGGCAAACCTCGGATGTAGGGGAGGGTGTGTCGGGGGGGGTAAATATTCCCCCGTGGCGCGTCGGACGAGGCGTGGGCGGTGGGGGAAAAAAACATAGAAGTCCCGTGGCGCGCTGGACCGGGCGTGAGGGGGAGCCCCGCAGAGCGTCGGAAGGGGCGTGGGGGGGAGGCAACATGCATCGTGGTGCTAAAACGGGAGTTCCTTTCCTGGCGAGGCTACACGCCAGAAGGAACGCAGGAAGGAAAGCAACATCCATCATAGTGCTGAAAGTAGCAATTCTTTCTTGACGGTATTTGGTGTATGACGGAATTCGTAGCGAAGTTGATCATACTCGTTGATCGGCACTGCCACGGAGGGTGTTCCGTGTTTCTCGGAAATTTTGTCGTCAACATGTTCAATATGTTGTTGGCAGTTTTTCGGTTGAGACCCTCATTGATTGCGGCTGCGGTTGTGCTGTTCTCTAAGATTGCGAAAACTGTAGGAAGATGGGATATTGTTCGGACCGTTGAAGGAACGTATGAGGAAATTGGGACACGAGTGTTCTACTTCCTCGGGAGTGGAGGACTGACGAAAAATACATGTAGGTTATGTTAAGCTCAGCAAATGTTGGATGATTGCCTCGTGTCCCGGAGCGCTGTGTTACGCCAGCGAAAAGAGGGGGGGCGATTTCGATGTTTGCCTTGTGCTTGTTTGCAGTACAGATAGCACCGCAGTCGCGTGGTAGTTGTTTGTTCCAACTCCTCACGATAGTCTCATGCCATTGCCAAGAATTGGGATAGGCCGTGTGCGAAACAGGGTTATGATCTTGGTACTTCACGCTGGAAGAACATGATAGGACGCCGCCCACGTTTGTAGGAGTAGATTTCGCGCGTGAACTCTGACACGACTGGTATAATGCATGTCTTGATCTTGCCCTAGCAGCCGTTACAGCGTTTGGTTGAACGATGAATATTCGTGGGGGGTGTTGAATCTCAGGCCGGGGTTCCCCTCATGCATTGCCTTTCCGCGTGAGGAATTTTCGCGCAATTTTTCGGGTGAACATCCGGCGTGCACATGCCCACTGGTGGTTCGTTACTCGCGTAAAGGACCAGGGAGGGTGTTTGGTGTGGCAGTGATAGAGAGATATCGTAGAAGATCTGATTGCTACCCTGGGTTGGGTTTGTTTCTAATCCACGGGGCCCGGGTCTCTGGGAGTGCTAGCTGTGTGCTCATTCTCTCTCGCGCCGCCTTGTCTCCGAGTCTTGATCTCGTCTGCTGTCCTTAATACAAGTCATATGCGACACACACAAGGGTTCTACGAAAACCTACTCTTTCTCACTGAGACGTGCATGCAATTTGAGTGCCAACAGTCACTCCATGTAGCCAGTCAGCAGCGAGGTACGGCCGTTGCGGCATCATATCTCGAGTA